CCCAGACCCCTCTTCATGCCCTCCCCCCCCACAGGACACCACAGGCAGCTGTCCCGCCGGCTACTTCACTGCCGTACTGTACGTGCTCGTGCTGTCAACGCTGTGAGTCTGCGTTTTGCGGTGTGGGGTTGGGTGGGGCGCGGCGAAATAGGGACGAAGGAAAGAGGCCAACTGTGGACGCCCAAGGATTACTTCATTAATGGAAATGACTGGCGACTTAAGTGGGCCCTTTCCTTCCACTCCCAGTTTCCACGTGCAGGTGGCGCTCGAGAACCCGTTTGACGGCATCGGCATGGACGACGTCTTCTTCAACATGGACCGCGAGTTCGCGGTGACGGTGCGGCGGTACGACAGGAGCAGGGCCAGGGCGGCCAGGGAGCTGCAGGAGAGGGAGAGGGAGGAGCAGGAGAGGAACGAGGAACAGCAGCCAGGAGGCGAGGAGGAGCGAGGGCAGGTGGGAAAGGTGGAGACAGCGGCAGTAGCGGCGCCAGGCGGCCGCAGGAAGTCTCAGATGGCCCAGCAACAGCAGCAGCGGTGGTGCGGCGCTAGCAGCAGCAGCAGCAGCTATAGCAGCAGAAGCAGCAAGCGTCGAGGCTCCAAGGTAGCGCCCTGCACTGCCACTTCTAGTGCTGCTGTCAATGCTAGTGGCAGTAGTGCTGCTGCTGCTGCTGCTGCTGCTACTGCGAATGCTTGCCTTGAGAAGGACAGCGGCAGCAGTACCAACAGCGACGATGCCCCGAGTGGCAACAACAGTGCGGGCTGCAGTGTTAGTAGACTTCCTGGAGAAGATCACAAAGGGGGAGGCAAGTCCTTCTCCATATTTGTGGACGCCGGAGGAGGGGAGATTAGATGTGGCAGCAGTGGAGGAGAAGAACCGGCAACCGCCAGCGGCGGCAGCGGGAGCAGAAAGCGCTTTCTTCAAGCAGCTTCCGGTGCTATTGCAGCTGATGTTAGCGAGTTTAGCAGCTCTCCTTCTGCCGCTGCTGCTTCTGGCGCTGCTGCTTCTGGGGCTGCTGCGGTGCATGATGGCAACGGCAATGATGGTGGGTCCATCCACCTCATCGGGTCGGCATCAGGTAGCTTGATACTGCTACCCGGAGAGCTCCCTCCTCAACCGCTACTTCAGCAGCAGCAGCAACCTCAGCAGCCGTTTCCTGCACCCTTCCACCTTTACCTCCTTCCCCCTAGGAGCAACAAGTTGTCGGGCATTAGCAGCAGCAACAGCAGCCCTATGGGTCTCAGTGGTAGCAACAGCAACACCGGCGGCGCCGGCCGTGTCCGACCTGGCAGCAGCAGCAGTAGCAGTGGCAACTTGCACATGACGACCCATGGGTCACTTGCTGCCAGCGCTGCGGCCGGTGCTGATACTGCTACCGCCGCTTCTGCTGCTTCTCATCAGCCACCAGGCACGCGTTTGGGCGCATTAGCGAACATGTCTGCCTTCAGTGCTTCTGGGGGTGTTCGGAAGGCACAAACCCTGCCTGTGTGGCAGGGGCCTGGTAGCGGCGGGAGGATACAGGGGGACACGGGAGAGTTGGTGATAACGGAGGGGAAGAGCATGCTGGCTGCCAAGATAACGCAGTTGGGGTCCTGGTGGCCCGTGGGTCGGGGCCTGGGGTACAGCTCTTGATGATCCTCTTTGCGGACGTGGCAGGAGGTTTAATATGTTTTGCTGTCGCACAGTGGTGACCTGTAAGTCCATGTGTGTCGTACAATCATAATTACTGTCGTACATGTATGGGCCTGCAGGATGGAAAGGGAGTATAGCATGGAGATCTTCTGCAAGGTAAAGCGTAAAACTGGTATTCTTTTAGCGTGCCTAGATAGAGAGCATATAATGCGCTGCGATGCTCGGCTTGTCGTATTCCTTTTAACATTTTTGCTTCGACTGCTGGAGGTTTTATTTTGGAAGCGTTTGGAGGCGTTGCCCGCGGCCGTAGACAGACTTAATGTGTGTTGAGTGAGGAGGACCGTACTGCTGTCAGGGGCGCAAAGTACGGCAATAGCTCTAGAACTGCTATAGGGGGAGGACCCAACGAGATAGATCTAGGTGTAGGCTGCAGGTATAGGCTAGGGATTACACACGGCGGGTGTCGTGGGCTGGGTGACCGACAAAGGTGCCCATGGATAGGGTTTTTTGCATTTAAGTTATATCATTCATTATTCCGTTATTGTATTGACAGCGCCTAGCGAGCCGTAAGTGTGCGGATGGGTGGGTCTACGGGTTCTTTAGTGCTGAGGGATACCTCCGCAGCGAGGAAAATGCAGGGGGGGATGTAGAAGCAGCAACCAAGGGTTGCTCTGTTCCTAGACCGCACATACGTCCTGAGGGGAAGAAGCTGACGAAGCTGAGACAAGTGTAATGCCCTCACAGAAACTGTGACATCGTGTGTCTGATATGCCCGCACGGACACGGTGTGACGCGCCGGGTGTGGCGGTACGCATGGCGGTCCTCGTCCTCGTCGTATGTGGACAAGAGTGACCAGATGAATGAATGACCGTTACAATGGTTCCCTAAAAAGGGAACACGGGTGATGAACCCAACCCTACACTGCAAGAAAAGCGCAACACACCTGATGTTCCAAATCTCGATTGTTCCTCGCTGTCCCTCGCCTGATCCAGACGTGAAGGGCTCCTACAGCGGGTCCCCTCTACAAGAAGTGCGACACAGCAACATACATGTACAAATACAAGTACAGTTGTTTTACTTGTTAAAAACCACACACATCCAATACGCTCCATCCAGTACGTTCCTACTCCCGGCCAGTTTGCACATGTACAGACAGCAGCAGCACAGGAGTACAAGTACGCCACAAAAGAAATGTTACATGCATGCATGTGCCTCCACGAAACGGAACTACACCATACCTACCGAACCTTCAACTACTACCACGTCGCTACACCATACCTACCGTACCTTCAACTACTACCACGTCGCTCCCCCCCTTCCCAGCGGGGTGGATGGGCCGGGTTCAGTTAGCAATCCATGGAGAAGCCTCGTCTTCCAGTTCGTCAGTTTTCCTTGTTTTTACCCTTCCCAGCACTTCTCCCAAACCACCTCCCGCCGCCCCAAGGTCGCCTCCCCAACCCGCTGCCCCGCTCCAGCCCCTGCTCTCCACGGGATTTCGGAATTACAGCGTATCATTCCTTCGCCTCCACGCCCGCCCGCGCCCGCACCCTCTTCCCCTCCCCCCCAGCGCCGCCCCTCAGCCAGCGCTCCACCACCTGCTCCTCGAACCATTGCAGACTGAACTGCATGTGCGCCGCCCCCGCCACCTCGTCCATCTCCAGCCGCCCCGCCTCGTCCAACCGCCGCAGACCCAACCAGTCCTCTGCGGGCAGGCGGGCAGGCGGATAGTAGCAAGCGGGACGGGGGATTGCCGGTAGAAAGTTGAATCGCGAGAAGAAGAGGCTAGATAGGATAAAGAAGGGTAAAGAGGAGCCAGGGAGGAGCAGGCAGGAAGAAAGGTGGGGCGCATGTAGCATAGCCAGACAGCACGATCAAGCGGAGCCATTTCCAGCCAGACACACGCACTGCCGACCCCCGCCCCCCTTTCCCACCCCCCTCAGCCCCCTCACCTGTATACAGCGGCTGCTCCCGCAGGGCCACCAGGCGGGATCCGTCGAAGAAGGAGAACCAGGCGCTGTCTCGGGGGACCACTGGGATGGGGGGGAGGAATGAAAAGTGAAGCAACGGCAGTCCCAATCCGGGGGGCCCGGGAGGATGGGTGGAGGTGGAGGTGAGGTGAGGTTCAGGCGGCTTGTCCATCAGGCTTTCACGAAGTGCCTGGTATATATGCATTGCGTCACCGTTACCCAATACTTGGCATCAACTTGTCCCTTTCCTTCATTCGGGATTCCCATAAACTTTCGCAGTCCCTCAATCCCTACTCCGCAATCCCCCAATCCCTTTGTAGCTCTTACCCGTATAATCGTCCTCAAATCGGTACAGCACTAACCGCTCCAGGGACCCCAGGTTGGTCGCGTACAGCGGATTCCGCTCCCCTCCGCCTCCATCTCCTCCTCCTCGCTCGTTATTAATATCCGGCAGGAAGGGATTGCACGCCAGGTACTCCTCCAGTCGGTACGGATCCTTAAAATACTGCGCCTGTACGACATGATCTCGGATGTACGGCAGATAGGCTCCGGAACCCAGCAGCCGTTGCATGACGTGGCAGGCTCCGTGGCTGGAGTTGAGGGGTAGGGTACGGCAGCCGGGTACGTTCATGACGCCCTGGTGTTGTGCGCCCAGGGTTACGAGGGTGTGCATGCGGGGGCCGGTGTGCTGGCAGCGTTGCACGACAGCCTGAGGGGGAGAAGGGGGATAAGCAATAGAGGAAAGGGGGAACGGGGAAGTAAGGGGGAAGGGCATGGACTGGGGTACCGTGTCGTGTTGGAGGTGTGCGGGCAGCAGCCGTTCGGCAACAGCCTAATAAGGAGAGGGCAGGAGTAAGGGGAGTGGCGTGGGCTGCAGGGAAGACGAGCTACGGGGGGGGGGAAAATTATATAAAAGTGAAACAACAAATCCCAATCGAGCTACGGGGGGGGGGGGCTAACACGAGTACCCCCGCCCCCGCCCTCACCCTCAGGAGATACGGTACCAGTCGACCAAGAGGGCAGGGTTGGGGGCCACCTAGTCGTGCCGGTGATGTCGGAAAGGAGGGTAGCTCGTGGCATGACTCCCCGCCCCCGCCCTCACCCTCAAGAACTGGCCTCCCTGTGAGAAGCCCACCGCGTTGTAGCCGCCCTTCAGCTCGAGCATGGAGCGCAGCTGGGAACACACGCGGGCAACCTGGGGGCGGGGAGGGGGGGGGGAGAGGAATGAATTAGGAAAATGATGAACTGTATGACGAGGAGGGAGAGAGAGGAGACGAGGTGGGGTTGGAGGTGGGGTTGGTGGTGGGTTTAGGGAGAGGGTTACGGAGATGGCAGGTGGGTTTAGGGGTTGCTACACGCGCGGGTACGTGCCTGGTCGTTCACGTCGCCCCAGAAGCCGCTCAGCACGTCGCCCATCTCACCATTGCCGGTGGCAATGCTGTGGACGAAGACGCCTGCGGGGTATGGGCAGCGGGCGTGTTGGGTGACGCGGTTGCCTAAACACGAGCGCCTCCCGGCGGCATGGGGATTGTATGTATGTATGTGTTACAAGCTTCGTACCGAGCTCGTAAGATCCGTCCGAGCCAGAAGGCTCATGGATCGCGAGCACAAAACGCGAAAACAACCAAAAGAAGAAAAGTAAACAAAAGAGACAACAAACAGAACGCTAATCATATGATAAACCCTGTCTGCGCAATCCTGCGACTTCGCATGCTAGTGATTACGCTAGCAAGCAATGCCTGATTCTCCATGCCCATGACAGCAATCATATCAGCATCCCGTGGGACACCACTTTCCCATATCTTATCACGCAAATCATCGTAAGCGGGACATTCAATGAGGATGTGTTTCTCATCTTCCACTCTCCCCGGCGACCCCTGCACGGCACACATAGGACAGACACGCGCTACTCGTTGCCTACCCCTAGGGCGATTGGCTTCAATGCCCCACACACACAGCCGAAAACGCATCAGGTTCACATGCTGCCGCTGAGTAATGTACCCCCTGTCAACCGGGTCACCCATCCAATTTTTGTACCTGCACATCTTAACTCCAACCCCTGGTACGGGGTCTACTGGGTTGAAAAGCCGCGGGTCATCTTCCAACCTCCTATCCTCCCAATCCGCATCCATTCTATCAGCAAACTTTTTAGTGAGAGCAGACACATTTAGCTCCGTGCCAGCAATACGTTCCACACGCGCATTCAAGTCCAATTCACCCCCCAAGGCCGTCAAATCCGTCCCTAACATTTTCATGGGGATTATGCTTGGAGGCGTGGCACAGGCGTACGGCAATCGTGAGTCGCTGAGGGTCGTTAAGGGAACTAGGTAGTTGCAAGTTGCCTCGGTTAACACTTTTGCGTTTGTGTTGAGGGCAAGCTGGATGCGACTGATTTGGCTGAACCGGAGCAGGATGGAGTCGCGACCTACCAAGCTTTTCGCGTATGAGCTTTGCGATGCCACCGATACTGCTTGAATCACAACATGAGTCTCCTGCAAGAAACCAGTTTGCTAAGGTTGCTCCTCTTTGCTTTTCCAACGGCAAATTCCTTGCACGTACCCATGCCATGCCAAAGTACCACAGGTAAGCTGGTTGTTGAACTTCTGTTGGGTCGTAAATGTTGAAGTTGCAGCTGGTCAGTTCGGCTAAACTTCGCACGCCCGGTGCTGAGCGGGCCTGTGACCGCATTAACTGCAAGCCATGGACCTAACAAGAGCAACAGGAGAGGTGCAGCAAGGTTTGGCATTCTTCTAGAGTTGCATACTAGTATGACTTGGCCGTTACGCGTATGACTGTAATAAAAAAATTCAGACAGCGGTTGGTACGGCTTGCATCGACATCAACACACCAACACTTTAGTTTGCATCAGGGCCCACAGTTATACCCATCGTCCAACATCCTCGCCTGCAGCCCCATAGCCCGCGTTGGACTCAAGGCTACAACCTTGAAGCCTCACGGGCACCCAATTTCACGCGCTCCTCCCGAGTTGCCGTACCTACCAGCAGTGCAATCAAACCCGTGAATTGGGTACCCCGCAAACGTCCGCAGAATCGCACAGCCGCACGCGTTTCTGTATAAGTTCTTGTCGTTAAAACTGGAAACCCCCAATAGCACGCGCGAGACGTGTCGTCAGCCATAAGGTCCTTGTAAAGACCTGAGCGCTCCTCTCTGCCCTTCTAACTGCATTATCCCACTCCTGTCACCTCTTCCCCATCCAGCCACCAACCCATACCGGTAGCCGACGCCGGCTCGCCTTAACCAAAAAGTTGTGGATGGATGAAATGTCCTTCCAAAAAGCTGTGGATGGGTGGATCAGTCCATCCACACCCCTATGGCTCGGCAAGCGACAAAAGGAAGCCATCCGACATGCTGATGCCGCGCGTTGTACCGGTAGCAATGGCGCCGCCGCTACCAGCCGTACGTACGCATGTGCCGTACAATGTACTTTCTCCCCCACGGAATGGAATCCAGTCGGGATCCCACTTTGTCGTACAGTTGCCGTACAGCTGCACCTATCCATTTCAGCAGGGCCCTACCGAGTAGAGATTGAAGGTGTTGGGTTCACTGGCAATGGCCATCAGACGTCCGTCGGGGCTGATGGCCAAGCCCTGTGCGGTTTACCGTATCGGTAACGTAATGGGCGGAAGCGTTTTACCAAGAACGAGAAAAACTTCACGTGGCTTTATGCAGCAGGAACAGATCACGATGACCGGTGAGCCACGTGCTTGCACAATCAGGGCCTATTAATGCTAACCGCAGGCTGTCCATCTAAGCAATCAGCCTTGGCTGCCATCAGGAGGTCTCAGGTCTCCCGCCTGGGTGGTCCTAATAAGAAGTCCGCCCCACGCACCTCGGGTCGTGGCAGTCCCTTGACCTTGAGAGAGGACAGCACCTTGCCCGTCTTGCCCACTCGGACCACTCGCTTGCTTCCCTGGAGTGGAGGGGAAGGCAGGGAGAGGGGGTATTAAAAGGGGGGAGTGTGGGAAGCGGGGTGGGAGACGGGGAGAGGGAAGCAGAGGAAGGAAGGAAGGAATGGAGGCAGTGCGGTGGCTGGAGAAGGCTGCGGCAGCAGGATCAGACAATGGATTCCAGGCCGCGTCCCTTGCATGCGGCGGGAGTTTCTGAAAGAGCGTCGGAGTCACCGGTACGCTATTACCCTCAATCCCACGTCCACCCCTCCAAGCGTTCCCTCTTCCACCTTCCCTCTTCAGCCTTCCATCTTCCATCTTCCCTCTCTACACAATTGCCTCGCTATCCTCCCCGCAGACCCCTTATCACACGCCCCACCGCCCCCGGGCCCCCCCCCCTCCGCACCTCAGTCAGCTAGTTGTTTCCTCTTTACCCCCCGCACCTCTTCGCTACCCCCGCTACCCCCGCTACCCCCCCCCCTCTCGCCCACCTGCGACAGGATGACCAGCGAGTCGCAGCGGGGGCCCCAGCAGCTCAGGTCGGACAGGTCCTTCAGATCCAACCCGGACCCGTCGAACAGCAGCTGCAGATAGAGGGGGTGGTGGGGTGGCGGGGGAGAATACCAAGATATGTGCAGCAACGGAGCAAGGGAGCAAGGGAGCAACGGAGCAACGGAGCAACGGGGGGGGGTGGGGGTCAGGGTGACGGGGCACCCACGGTGCATGGACACCAAGCCCTCCACACACACACGTACGGCGGGGTGTGCATCTTCAGGCAGTCACAGTACGCTCCGATGCGCGGCCAGTGTTCATAACGGACACATACACACGGGATACAAGGGTGACACACGGGGGGGGGAGGGGGGGGCGCACCTGGCGGGTGCCGTCCGGGCCGACACGATACACAGCCTGGGGGTAGTCCTCCTGCAGGAGATGGTGCATGTCGTACGTCCGTGCGCATGTACGGCATGCCGTAAGTTGGAGTTTAGCAGTAATAACCCAGGTTGGTGCATGTCGTACGTACGAGCTTACGGTAAGAGATAGGGATGTGCGCATGTGCGGTATGGACACAAACATAGCAGGTTAGGTTGCAGCTGAAACGTTGCGCTATGCAAATGGTCGCAGCAGATAGACCAGATAGGCTTCCGTTCAGGTTGAATGGCAGCTTGAATGCTTGAATGGCAGCCCCAACACAACATGTGTACTGGACGTGTAGACGAAGTAACGGCCTTTGCGGCTTCTTGTACCGTACAGCTAGCGCGCCCTCATCAACATCACGATCACCCACACACCTGCGCCACGTAGAAGGCACGGGTAGCTGTGTCGTACGCGAGGCCCTCAAACCCCTTGTTGGGCTGCCGTACAACACCGGGCAGCCGCAGTCGACCCTGCACTCGACAATTATTGTTAAGTTGTGGGTTTCATTGTCAGTCGCCTGCGGTAACGGTATAATGGTGCGTAGTGCACACTTGGTACATGCAAACTCAGCCGCCTTACATAAAGGCCCTCCCTGATCTCAGCTTTACACTCCAGCGAGCAAGAGCTGTCCGTGGCTCTCCGTGACTAGCTCTTCAGCCCCCCCCCATGCATGCAGCCGTGCACCAGCCAATCGCATGCGCTCCACAACCGCCGCAAGTAAGGCAGCTTACTCTTACTTACCGCGCTGACGGGTCCAGATGCTCGTACATCCACCAGCACGATGTCCCGCATCTCCTCAGACACGGCCAGCCGCCCGGGGCCCACCCAGGCGATGGCTGCGTACGTGCAGGGGCAGCGAACGGAACCGCGGTCAGACGTGAAACTGGCAACCCACCTGGAAGTTCTTCTTGCCCAGCACGCACATGCATGCGCGTGCACGTGTGCCTTCCTGCATGTAGCACACATGCGCGCATGCATGCATACCGGCACCATTCGTCTTTGTCTTTTCCTTCGTTTTCTTCTTCCTTACTCTTACATGTACCCACCCACGACCCACCCTCTGGGTCGTCCACGCCCCTCAGCGACACCGACTGCAGGATGCGAGTAAGGTTGTTGTCGTACTTGATGGCAGCCAGCGGGTGGTTGCTGACCTGGCAGGCAGCGGGCATAAATATCAGGGTAGGGAAGGGCGGAACATCCAACAACTTAACATAAAGGTTGGAGTTAACTCCCCCAAAAAAGGGGACGCAATGCATTGCACTTTGGTTTCAGGACGAGCTACATGGTTTCAGGAAGAACAGATATCGTGCGTGCGAATAGGAAACATACGCTAGAGGGATGTGTGAAAAGCCCCATGGTGAGGTTTCATGCTCCATGTGTCCCATGGGTCATGGACCTTCGAAGCGACTGGTCACGTCAAAAAGCTGAAACCTTCACGCACCAGCCACCACCCGCCTCCTGGGTCTGCCGCCAGCCCCGATGCGTCGTCCGCCACTCCGGGCAGCAGCTGCCCCTTCACACACAACTTGTAGGACTCCAGGTCCTCCGGCCACCCCACAGCAGCGGCTGCTGCTGCTGCAGGTGGGGTGGGGGTGGGGGTTGCCGCGGCTGCTGCTGCTGGGGTCGGGGTTGGGGTTGCCGCCCGCGCTGTAGCTGTGACTGCTGCAGAATACAAGGCAATCGCGAGGCATAGCAGCGCCAAGCTCGCTGGCGCGCAGGACATTCTGTGTGGTGAAAGGTGGTGCATGGTGCGTGATGAGGCTGCTGGGGCAAGTTGAGGAGGGTTCCGAGGTATGTGCCCTCGTCGGACCTCGGGATACCTACAAGTCTTCCTTGCTACCGCTGCTCTAGCATCGACAAGTTAGACTACAGAATGAAACTTGAAGAGGTGCATTACAAAGCCAAATAGATGGCTTCGCATGGTTTCCTCCTCCTGACTGTGATTACCAGACCCGGTCAGACGGACCAGCAGCGCTAGCGGGGGGCAGTTGAGAGGTGTCTGTCACCCTCCTCCCGCCGGACGGCCGCCGTATGCGTTAGTTGCTAATTTCCGGTAACAGGGCTTGATACTTATCTACTAATTAAATACTCTATTACTTGTAATTCTTGTAGATTTCCTTGTGTTGTTAACGTATTCGGAGTGAAGGGTAGCAATGAACACCGCCTTCTAGTTACACAGACTGCTGCAACCTGAACAGGAGTGTATTTTTACAATGAGCACAAGGGCCCGTTTACTGCACACACAATGGATGTTAGTTACCAAGGCAAAGCAGCCATTGACGAAGCGTTCAGCGAAAATATGCAGTTGTACGGCACAAGTGTTGCTTGTTAAAACCTAGATAAACTGCCACCATCTGTAGCAACAGTCCTGTCTGCGCATTGCCAGAAGAGGACATGCAAAAGGGTACAGCCACAACAGGCCAAAGAAGAGGCTCACTCTCTACATGCAACAGCAGCAGCTCCTCCCTACCACTACCGAATCCTTAACTAAGGCTACTTAGTAGCTATGCTTGCAAAATTCAGGGAAACGACAACAACAAACGACCCAGCCATGACTATCCAACAGACATCAGGATACGTTCATAAGGACTCAACCCATCATGCCACAAACAACTTGAACGTTTTACGTTACGTACGGCGACTATACCGCCATAAGGCTCGAAGGCGGTTTCTCTTGGTGGCAGCGATGCCACGGTATTGGATTCTAAAGATATTTGCGTTTGCCTACAGAAAAGGATTCACCGTAGATGTAATGAAGCGTAACGCGAACAGCACGCAAGGTATCCATGTCCATCCTAAGAAGCGACGTACGAAAGAGCGACGGCTCTGCCCTCCATACGCTATTGCTATTGACCACAGCTTGCAGTTCGTTTTGCACACAACAACAACAACAACAACACAAATGTAATAATTCCATCCCCTCCTCTGTGTATGTACCCACCCTCAACACTTGCAGAAACTTCATATCCAATTTAAATCTCTTTGGACCTGCCGTACCCGTCGCACAGCAGCAACCCACGACCTTCCCCTTCCCCACACCAAAAACCAATTAGCAAAACTGGTTACTGCTAATCAACACCCAAGCAATACCGTTATCCAGATACCCGACACGGATGCTCTCCCATCCAAACCCCCCTCCAGCGCACTAGCACAACACCGCATCACGCAACCACCGCCTCACCGCAAGCCTCCCCCGTGAACCCCGCGTCACACACACACCGCCCACTACCCACATCACACACCCCATTCCCACTACATTCCCCACCACCACCACCACCACCACGACCCCCACCTCCCGTACCCACAGGACACCCCAGTGGCACAGGCGGCAGGTCACCGTACTCTGGTGCCGTACAGCCACCACCGCCACCGCCACCGCCACCACCACCACCCTTCCCGCCGCCACCTCCGCCGCTGCCAGCCCCATCACAAATCTTGATCGCCCCCGCCGCCGTCATCCCCATCAGCTCCGGCTGTGCGTCCGCGTAAGCCCGAATGGGCGGTACGACAAACGTCCCAACCGTCGCCGCAACCGCCCGGATCGTAACCGACGACGTACCCGCCCGCAAGGCGGCGTACGACAGCGTGACTAACGCCGGTCGGGTTTCCTGAGCAGGACACATTGGCCACCACCACCAGCGGAAGACACGGCTCCAAGCCGAGCTCTCAACCCAGCTCTCCCCACAACTCATCCAACCGCTCCCAACTCCCATCGTGCCACCCGGGAGGTTAGGATCCAACGGTTCCAAACCGCCGGGCATCATAACGGCCACCGTTACCGCGCCCAGATCGTCCGGGCTGGTAACCTGCACGGTGTATGCGACCAGCGAGCCGAGTGGCACCGCGACCAGGGGCCGACCCATGGGTCCGCCGGAGAGCGGGTCGACCAGCTGCAGTGCCGCTGCCACGTATAGGCCGCGGTAGGTGGGCGAGGGGGGCGGGCGGGCGGGCACGAAGCGCATGGAGGCGGTGAGGGACACTTCACCGCTGCCTGATACCTGGGGTGGGGGGTTGATAAGGGCGGGTTGCGGGTTGCGGGTGGGTTGCGAACAAGACTGGAGTTGCGAACAGGACATGGCAACTTGTAGTAGTCTAACCCATATTTGGAGGTGGGGAAAAAAGAAATTCCAATGTGTGGTGTGATAATGGTACAAATTGCTGACAAGGTGGGGAGTGAGAAAGGCGGGGTGGGGTGCAAGCAAGCATGGGGTGCATGCGGAGGGCGCGGGGGCAAGCAAGGGCGCACGCTGCTGCCGCGGGTCAGCCGCCAGCCGCTGCCACCCCAGTTGTAAGTAGTAGTAAGCTGCGAACAGCCGCTGCTACCACTCCAGGGCCACACCCCGCCCAGGCCACACCCCGCCCTGGCCACACCCCGCCCAGGCCTCACCCCGCCCAGGCCACACCCCGCCCAGGCCACACCCCGCCCAGGCCACACCCCGCCCAGGCCTCACCCCGCCCAGGCCACACCCCGCCCAGGCCACACCCCGCCCAGGCCACACCCCGCCCAGGCCACACCCCGCCCAGGCCACACCCCGCCCAGGCCACACCCCGCCCAGGCCACACCCCGCCCAGGCCACACCCCGCCCAGGCCACACCCCGCCCAGGCCTCACCCCGCCCAGGCCACACCCCGCCCAGGCCTCACCCCGCCCAGGCCTCACCCCGCCCTGGCCTCACCCCGCCCAGGCCACACCCCGCCCAGGCCTCACCCCGCCCAGGCCACACCCCGCCCAGGCCACACCCCGCCCAGGCCTCACCCCGCCCAGGCCTCACCCCGCCCAGGCCACACCCCGCCCAGGCCTCACCCCGCCCAGGCCTCACCCCGCCCAGGCCACACCCCGCCCAGGCCACACCCCGCCCAGGCCTCACCCCGCCCAGGCCACACCCCGCCCAGGCCACACCCCGCCCAGGCCACACCCCGCCCAGGCCACACCCCGCCCAGGCCACACCCCGCCCAGGCCTCACCCCGCCCAGGCCACACCCCGCCCAGGCCTCACCCCGCCCAGGCCTCACCCCGCCCAGGCCACACCCCGCCCAGGCCTCACCCCGCCCAGGCCTCACCCCGCCCAGGCCACACCCCGCCCAGGCCACACCCCGCCCAGGCCTCACCCCGCCCAGGCCACACCCCGCCCAGGCCTCACCCCGCCCTGGCCACACCCCGCCCAGGCCACACCCCGCCCAGGCCACACCCCGCCCAGGCCTCACCCCGCCCAGGCCACACCCCGCCCAGGCCTCACCCCGCCCTGGCCACACCCCGCCCAGGCCACACCCCGCCCAGGCCACACCCCGCCCAGGCCTCACCCCGCCCAGGCCTCACCCCGCCCAGGCCACACCCCGCCCAGGCCACACCCCGCCCAGGCCACACCCCGCCCAGGCCACACCCCGCCCAGGCCACACCCCTCCCACCTGGAAGTCCAGTCGTGAGGTGTTGCCTGGTGCGGGAGGCGGCCGCAGCTCCTCCCAGGCAATGGTGCGGCTGACGGGTTGCCAGGAGGGGGAGGAGGAGGGAGTGGAGGAGGTGCTGCGGTTGGCTGCCTGGAAGGAAGCCTGGGGGGGATGGGTTGAGGAGGCGGGGCAGCAGGTTGGTGTTACGCAGCTGGGTACACAACAGCAGGGACAGTACGTGGAAGCAGCAGCGGGGGCCCGAGAGGGTACAACGGTCCTCCCTCCCCCCATCCACCATGCAGGTTATCGCCCCCTTGCAACCACGCGCCACCCTTCCAACCACCACCCCTGCCAGGACTGCCTCCCCCACCCCACCTGCATCACCACAGCTCCGTTCACCTCCGCCGACATCCCCAGCTGCGGCTGAGCGCTGCCGTACTGCCTGTCGTACTGCGACAGCGCCGCCAGCACCAGGCCCTGCGCCTGCCAGGAGGGCGGGCGGACCAGGGAGGCGGCCCACGGGAGGGGGGCGCCTCCACCTGCAGTGTCGGGACAGGACGGGGACGGGACGGGGGACGGGGGAGCTGTCATAAGGATTTGTTGTGGGTCGACATGAGTCAAACCCACATCTATCTGTCGGGGTGGCCGGGGGAGGAGAAGGGACCCACGGGACGGCCACAGCCTTCTCAATACACACACGCAACACTACCCCCCTCCCAACCAGGAATGCGCACATGACGCACACACGCACACCACCAAACGCACTCTTCACTCGCTCCACCTACATGGCCAGCTATGTTAGCCCACCACCACTCACCTCCCGGTGGCGGCGGTGCGGGGCTAGCCACGTAGGCAGCCAGCCGGGGCAGCAGCGGCCGCAGGGAGGTGGAGGTGATGGGGGAGGTGATGGGGGAGGTGATGGGGGAGGTGATGGCGGAGGAGGAGGAGCTGTTGAGGGAGGCAGTGGAGGAGGTGGAGGTGGAGGTGGGGGAGGCTGCTGCTGCTGCGCGTGTGAGCAGCAGCAGGCCGAGCGCCTGGTCGGACAGCGGCAGGGGCGAGGGGGAGCCTGCAGGGGTGCAGCAGCAGGGAGCGGGAGGGAGGGAGGGAACGCAGAGGAGGGGGTGTGTCGGGGCATGTAACAACCCCCTTGTGTCCGATGTCGAGCTGCCGCTGCATCCAGCTGCCCTCGCACTCCGCTGTGACATGGCGGGTCAGTGGCGGAGTTGGTGGCGGGCATTCCTGGATTGAACCCCCAGCCGTCCCACCCACCCACTCGCCCTCCTAACACGTTAACAGCGCCCTCCTTCGCCTCCCCCTCCTGCTCCTCCTCCTGCTCCCAAGTCCCAACCCATCTCACCCTGCCCCGCCGCCACATACGCCGTGCGCCCCTGCACCCGCAGCGACCCCACCACCTCCTGAAGAACCTCCTGAAGCACCTCCAGCTGCTGCTGCTGCAGCTGCTGCTCGGCCGCAGCTGACCCGCGGGTCTGCAGCAGCTGCTGCAGCAGTAACGCTACCACGATACGAGTCTGCAAAGTGTGTGGGTGCAGGTGGGTGGGGTATGAGCACATGACACTTTCACATCACACGGCCCTACCAGCCCTAACCACACCCCGCACCCCGCACCCCGCACCCCGCACCCTTGCATCACCCCGCATTCCGCACCCATGTATCCGCACCACCTGGATGTTTGCCTCTTTAAGTGCCCCCCATGTCACAGTCATCAAGTAATTCCAACCGCCCTCACGACTCGGCCCTACCAACCACCACCACCACCACCACCACCGCATCCCACACCCATGTATCCGCCCCCCCCCACCCCCCACCCCCCACCCCACCTGGCGCCCCATGTCGTCCTTGTTCCTCACGAGGGCGGACAGCGACAGGTCTGCCGCCACGTCCGGCAGGGTGCCTGCGGGAGGAGACCAGTCGGGGCCCAGAACCAGCCTGGGGAGGGGGGGGGGACAAGGGAGGGAGTGAGCTGGGCATTAGCAGCAGCAACCACCGCAGCAGCACCACTAGGTGCAGCAACAACGGCGACAACGAGTATATACATTGAGAGCTCAGCCGTGTCATAAACCCCCGCACTGCCCCCTACTGCGGCTGCTGCTGCTGCCCCCACCACAACAGCACCCCTGCTGCATGCCCTCTCTTTCCCTCTCACGGGGTATGGGATTAAGACTGCAGTCCAGCATTTCCATTTCACTTAATGTTTTCCCGCCCCCTCTCTCACCGCGCCCATACAAGCGTGTTCCAATCCCGGTAGCGGCCGCTGCCGCTGCTGTTACCGCTGCCCCCGCTGTTCCCCGCCGCCCCCCTCCAGGCCTCCCTGGCATCCTCCAGCAGCTGCCGCTCCACCGCCCCCCGCCACACCGGCAGCGTCTGGGAGTGCAGCTGCTGCCAGGAGGAGGCTAATGAGGATGAGGAGGAGGTGGGGGAGGAGGCGGGGGAGGAGGAGGAGGAGGAGGAGGAGTTGGGCAGCAGAGGTGTCAAGGCGGGTCCGTGCAGGTGCGCCAGGAAGAGGGCCCAGCTGTTGAGCCCCATGTCGGTACTGGGGGGGGAGGGGGAGGGGGGAGGGGGGTGTTGGGGGAGGGGGAGGGGGGTGTTGGGGGAGGGGGTCGGGTTGCAGGAGGAAGGGGGGAAGGAAAGACAGCGAATGACGAGTGACCCTCATGCTCCCTTTCAACATCGTTCCACAAAACACACACAAACCAGGTTACCGGTTTACCACCCTCATCCCCTTTCCCCCCTTTCCCGTCTGTTAGTCGTTCCCTCTTTACCCAACCCCCTACCGAGTTATCCCTCAGTCAGTTAGTTGTTTCCTCTTTACCCCTACCGAGTTGGCTGCCAGGTGCCCCAGCGGGCGGGGTCGCAGGCCAGCAGTCCCACCACCGGGCGAGTGAGCGAGCGGAGAACCTGGAAGGAGGAGAGCACCGCTGAGTAGGAGGCAGCAGCCGCCGCGGTTGGGTTGGTGGGGCTGCTGCTGCTGGTATTGCCGCTGCTGGTGGTGATATCGGTGCTACTGCTGTTGCTGCTGGTGTTGTTCTTGTTGTTGTTAATGTACGAGTCGAGTTGACCGTAGTACGACAGTACGGCAGGCATCGTGACCCACAGCATGGCGGGCTGTGCGGTGACGTAGGAGGAGGAGGGGGAGGATGGGGAGGAGAGGGAGGAAGAGAGGGAGGAGGTTGACGACTTGGGGTCTGCTTGCTGGTTCTGCAGCAGCAGGAGGTTGTCGAGGACTGTTGACACGGCGGGGAAGTGGCCCACGCCGGCAGTGAGGGTGAGGCCGCCTGGGTGGGGTGGGGTGGGGGTGGGTGGGTTGGGGGGGGGGTGGGGGGTGTGATACCAGGTAAGCGGTGAGCAGCCAAGCTGGCACACGCACATGCAGACAGGCCAGTGGGGGCACACAGCTCCCCCCTCCGCCCAGTGCACCCCCCCCAGTGCTCACCACTCCCCGGCACCGCCTGGGGCAGCACCAGCCCCTCCTGCCAGCCCGCAGCAGCAGCAGCTGGGGCGCTGCTGCTGCTGCTGCTGGTACTGTTGCTGTAGGTGACGGTGTTGTTGTGAGAGGTTGCGGAGAGGGTGAAGGAGGTGGCCACCCACACAGGCCCTTGCTGACCTGTGTGTCACAATGAGGGGTCAGCCGATGTAACATCACAGGAGGGAGCGGGGAGCAGGCAGAGAAAGAGTGTGCATGTGACAAACGTCAGGTTCACATTCGGTGGGTTCGGGAAGCCGGACAGCGTAAATACCGGAGGGTGTTTGCGAATCCGGACGTCGGTGACACAGTCAGTGCCACAGTCGGGGATCCAACCTACCTTCCACGGACAGCTGCACCTGCAGTGCGTCTCCTGCTGCCCCACCTCCTGCTCCTCCGCCCCTGTCTACAGTGCTGCCCTCTTCCGCAGCAGCAGCGGAGAAGGTGAGGTTGGCGGAGCCCACGGCTGCAGCGGAGAAGGAGAAGCGGACCTGGGAGGGAGGGAGGGAGGGGCTTCTTCTTCTTCTGATTGGAAGGCTCCATGCAGGAATTACAGAAATGTGGGAGGGCTTTGGGGGAGCAGCAGAGGAATGGTGCAGCAGTGCGTAGAAGGGGCAGAAAGAAGCCAGATAGAGACAACATGGTTTTGAGAGGAAGGCGATATTAGGCACGGTATGCCCGTTGACGAGGTCGGTAGTAGTATGTACCCTAGTCAGTAGTTTGTAGCAGACAAGCGCGCCTACCTACCTCCTGTTGGAGGCCGGTAGCGGTTGTGAACGCAACCGTCTTGCTCTGGGAGCTGCTGCTGCTGGCGGGGTTGTCGTGGGCGGATTGGGATGTGGAGGGCAGCAGGCGGAGGGGGCTGCCACGCCCCCTCGCGCTGCCCGCTGCATCCTCCACCTGCTCAAATAAACGGGAACACAGGCAAACCAATCAGTCGCTGCTACCAAGTCATCAGAGCAGGAGAGCGGATGATAACCCGAGCTCGGAAAGCTACCTAACAAGCATGTGTGCTCTCCACTGGGCCCACTGGTTTTCCTCAGCATACCTAAGTAACGCATATCGCAGTAACGCATGCATGGTCCTTACCCCCACCTCATCCGCCCCTATTCCTTACCCCCGTCCAACCATCCACCCACCCCACACCGCCCCCCCTGCGCTTCTTCCAGCTTTCGACCTCACCGGTGTCCTTCCACCCCTGTTTCCAACACCCACCCGCCCACACCCACCTTGACCTCCACCATCACCTCCGCCGGCACCGATCCCACCGTCAGCACCACCCCCGCCTCAAACACATCCCCCACCCGCACAAGTCGGGGGACGGAGGGTGTCAGCGAAACACGCCGCCGTACGGCAATCCGCGTCTCAGCAGATCCGTACCGTACGACGGGTCGCACCACTGGCAGCACGGGGGACGAGGCGGCATCGGATGGAGGTGCTGCTGCTGCTTTGTCTGGATTGGCGGCATCGGCAGCAGCAGCAGCAGGGGCAACGACGGCGAAGGCTCGCACAACAAAGGTACCCAGGTTGGGAGGAGCAGTGAAGGTTACCTCCGCTGCCGCCGCTGCTGTGTCGTCCGAAGCAGCGCCGGCGGCGGCGGTGGTGCTGGTGGTTGTGATGGTCCTGGAGACCACAGCGAACAGGGGCGTAACAATGAAGTTTGATTGCTGGCGAAGTGCCGCAGCAGCTGGAGCAGCAGCAGCCCCGCTGTTGTCACCGTTGCTGCTGCTGGCGCTAACGGCAGCTGCATCCGCCATCATGGGGAGAGCGGCGTTGCCCACCACGCCTCGTTTTGACGCTGCTGCTGCTCCTGCTCCACCAGCTGATGATGATGAGGCGGCCACAGCCATCTCGGCAGTGGCCATGGCCGCCAGGGCGATACCACCTGATGGGCCGATGAAGCGGCGGAGGGCCGGGAAGGTGGGTTGTGGGGTGCCGATCGGCTTGGCTTTGGGCCGGGAAGGTGGGTTGTGGGGTGCCGATCGGCTTGGCTTTGGGCCGGGAAGGTGGGTTGTGGGGTGCCGATCGGCTTGGCTTTGGGCCGGGAAGGTGGGTTGTGGGGTGCTGCAACGAGCCGTGCAAAAGCAGGGTTGCGCTCCATGTATGCATTGCGCGGTACAAAAGTACGCAGGAAACATAGCTTTTGCCGTACTGCGGGGCCACGAACCTCAATCCCAGTCTCCCAGTTCCTTAGCCTTATCTCTTCTGCCCTTTCCTGATATAAGGTGGGCGAATGAAACGTACCTGGAGGTATGGGGTTGGCGTAGGGCCCTCCGAAGCCCTGGTGACAGGGGAGAAACAGGAACACACGGGGGGAGTGTAGAAAAGATACCAGATATGAGGTGAGCGTGGGGAAGGTGCATCATCGTCGGGAGGCGGAGAAGGACAACAGAGCGTAGGCAGCTATGTTTTAAGTCGTGGAAGGAAGAAATGCGGGTGAAAGGAGGGAGCAGACGCAGCCTATGACACGAGGAGGTACGAGGGGTGGGGGCTATGCTACGGGGGCCTTGGCGCGGACCCCCGCAACCCCACCCTCGGCGACCCACCGACCCACCGGCATGTGGGTCAGTGACGTGGAGTATCCAGCCAGGTAGGAACTGTCATTGGCGTCAACCGGCGCCAGCGGGCCCCGGCCGCCGCCCCACCAGCCGAATGACCCACGGGTCACCCGCGTGTCAACTGGCAGCCAGGGGTCCAACCCGGTGAGGCTGTGTGCATGCGGGGAGGGGGGGCAGGAGGGTACGGTTGGACATCATAGGGGTCAACGAGACGGCGGTGGAAACGTGAAGCGTCGGAGATGTAGTAAATTAACATTTCGTAAAGGTTGTTTGCTGGGAAAGAAGCGGTGGGTCTTCTTAGGCATAACGACTTTTGCGCGCGTGGCTTGCGTCGTTGCGTTCAACATATCACGTGTATGACTCACCGGGACATCAGCTTGTCGTACACTGCTCGTACGGCACCCGGCGCCAGGCGGTACGAATCCATGCCGTACTGCTGCAAGTCAGCAGCCAGCCGCAGTACCATTTGCTGCTCCGGGTGCGGCAGATCGTACGGCATTAGATCCAAAAAGGCCTTATCCACAGCATACACCGTCACCTCCACATTCCTGTCGTACTGCTGCCCTTCAGCGTTGCTGTTGCTGCTACCGCCGTTGTTGCTGTTCGTACTGCTCGTCGTACCGTTGTCCGTACCGTTGTTCGTGCTGTTGTCGTACGACAGAAAAACCCTAATGCGCGCCTGAGCTCCTGGCTCAACCGCCACGATCTCTTTACCGTCAACATCACGAATAGTGCTGATGCCGCTGCTATTGGTGCCACCGTTGCTTGCTTCTGCTTCGGTCGTAACCTCCACTCTGACCGCAAGTGCGTTATCCGGCTGCACCTCCAATTGCACATTAGGCAACAGTACTGTGTGCGGCGCTCGGGGATCGAACAGACGACTAACAGGCAGCAGTTGCGGCGGCGGCAGCGGCAGCTGGCCGGCGGGCAGTCGCGGCACGTGCAGCAAGCCGGCGAGGGAGCAGCCGCCGAGACACTCGGGGCCGAGTGACCCAAGGGTCACTTCCACCAATCCCGGAGACAGCTGTGAACGAGAAGAAAAGGATGGGCAAGGATCGGCGGATGTAATGTGGTGGTAGTTTTCACGTCCCGAAAACCCAGACGCACACGCACGCGCACAGCCACCCCGCCCCCATCTGCCTCCCTTACCCACTCACACCCAACTCAACTCACCGGTCGCGTCACCCGCCTGCCGACTCCCCCCGCCGCGCCGCCCCACAGCAGCAGCAGCCTGGCGCCGGGCCAGGGGTTCTGCAGCTGCAGCCGCACGGGCTCACTCGGGGCGAAGGAGGTCCTGGGGGAGGAGGGAGGGAGAATGTGGGAGGGAGGGAGGGAGGGAGTGCGTTTGGGAGGGAGTGTGGGAGGGAGAAAGGAAAGGCGTGTTGCGAACTGGTTTAATGGCGGTAGAGATGGGTCCATTTGCTACTCAAATCATCCTCACTTTGCACTGCGACAGGTCTAAACCCTAACTTCCCTCTTAACTACCCCACAGCACTCCCAAACCGCTAAACTACTCACTTCCGCAGCAGCAGTGCAGGTGTGGGGTGGCCACTCAGCGGCGCAGCGGCCCACTCGCTGGCGTTACGACCGAGCGTTACGTTGGCACACACTCGCCAGGTGGTATCACTGCTGCTATTGCCGAAGTTGTTGTTGGGTTTACTGGTGTTGCTGCTGCTGCTGCTGTAGCTGCCATTAGCAGCATCCGGAGCAGCAGGCAACTCCGCACAACCCTCCAGCACGAAGCGGCCCACACAGGGCAACACCAACTGACATGCGGGAGTAAAGCCGCCGTCGCTGAGGACTGCCGTACAGCTGTAGCTGCTGCTGTTGTTGCTGTCGCTGCTGTTGCTGCTGCTGCTGTCAACAGGAGCAGCGGAACCCTGCAGAGTGCAAGCCTCAGCAGCAGGCGCATCATCCTCCGGATGGGGTCGCAGGGAGAGGGTGACAGGGACATCGGTCAGGGCCGAGCCGTCTGTGTTGGAGGTGAGGGTGGCGGCGGGGGCGAAGGCGGTGTCGGGCAGGTCGGGTTGCAAGGAGAGCTGCAGGGACAGACGGAAGGGGCCGTCGGCGAGCCTGTGAGGGGGGGTGGGTGGGTGGGTGGGTGGGTGGGTACATGGGTGTGGTGGAAGGGGGTTGGAGTTAGGGTCTTGATGGGTCGGGGGCAATGCTCCTCCTTCCAACAGAATACACACATACACACTCAGCGAAACTCTTCAAACCGTTTCCATTCAAGCACGTCATCCATGCATTGCCCCGGGTGATATAGCATGCGAGAATGTAACGCTCACGTAACGCTCGCAGATCTCGTAATGCGCTCCCTGGTGGGCCCTATCCACTCGGCATCCACACTCAATGTGTCGTCCGCCGACGTACGATTCGCCGCCGGCAGCGCACTCAGATCAATGGCGGCGGCGGCGACGCCGGTTGCGTTCGTACGAAGCTGCAGTACGTCCGCCGCCTTGGCGTGCCGCCAGGTCAGTGTGATGGGCGAGTCGGCGACGGAGGCCCCGATGTAGCTGACGGCGGTTAGGGTGATGTGTACGACACCCGTCGGGGTTACCCAGGGGGGTGTGACCAGCTGTGGTATGGAAGTTAAAGGGAGAGCAGGGTGGGTGTAGGGTGTAGGGGCGATGTGGGTAGCTGCTGGTTGGCAGGTTGAAGGGACAGATGCGGGAGGTGCGCGGGTGCAGGCGGGCGGGTGCAGGCGGGGCAAGGTAAGGAGGAGCAGTGCAAGTGAGTAGGGCGCTGGTATGGGCGCCAAAGGGAAAAAGGCGCCAAGCTCTTCGCCGTGCCTACAGCTACACAGGAAGCCAGCAACCTCCCTGCAGCACTCACAGTGCAGTGGGGCATGGGGGCCAAAAGGGAAAAACGCCAAGCGCTCTTCGCCAATTCGACCAAAACCCGCTATGCCACCCTCACTGTGCAGCGCTCAACGTTCCTGCCACCTCCGGTTACCGGTTACGCCTCATAGGTAAGCCTGCTAAGAGAACCCCAGGGAACCCCAAGCCGCCCCCGCACCTCACCTTCAGGTCAGCAGTGGGCGGCCGCGGGTCGGCCAGCGTGAACCCCAACACACCGCCGCTCATCACCGGCCAGCCGTCCACAGCTGCATTAGCGCTGGGAGGGAGCTTCTGCACCTCCGTCGGTATCTGGACGGGAGCAGCTGAAGTGTCGGGGACATCAGCGGCGGCTGTGACAGCGGGATTAGTGACAGCGGATTCTGGCATCCTGAGAGTGAGAGTGTAGGGTCGCAGCTTGGCGGACTGCGGGACGGGGATGTCCGCGTGCAGGGAGCCGGTGCTTGCGTTGACCTTGACCAGGAACCGACTCGGCGCGCTGTCTCCGCTTCCGCCGCCGCCGCCGCCGGGGACAACAGCGCCGACCGATGGCAACATCTTGCCGTACGACATCTCTGCTGTCGTACTTGCCATACTCGCCGTACTTGCCGTACTCGCCGCCATTCCGGCCATTACGGAGGTGAGGCGACGGCGCCCGCCGGGCCGAGCGACGACCCCCATCGCTGAGATGTCCGTTGCTGCAGCCGACATGCCCGTTGCCGCTGTCACTGCTGCTGTTGATGATGCTGCCATGCCTCCAGAAGGCAATGAAGTAGGAAGGGAAGAAGAAGAGGAAGAAGAGGAGGAGGAGGAGGAGGAGGAAGGGAAGGGCGGGCTGACTTCCAACACGGCGTAGGTGGACGCGGGGGGCAGCTGCAGACCCATGGGTCCAACACGCTGCACGTAGCCTGTGCGGGGGGGAGGGAAAGCAAGAATGGGTTGGAGGGGGTTCTAGAAAATCCATCCACCGGGCGGTGCCGGGGACACACAACACTGCAAACGACTGGATGTCAGAGCGGCGGTAGAGATGGGGGCGAGGCGGATTGCAGCAGCTGAGGATGGAGAAGGAGGAGGCTGGGGTGCATGTAAGCATATTCTCTGTCCCCCATGGCGCAGCAGCCGTGGTGTGCCTTCCCTTCGTACCCAACCCAGCCCACACCTGTGACCCGCAGCTTGTCCCCCGGCAGCACCACCCGCCTGTCCGCCAGCAGTGTCCCCAGGTGCTGCGGCGGGGGGGCGGGGGTGCTCAGGAAGCCCGCAGCCGCCAGCATGGCAACACGGCTGGGGAGGCGGCGGGAGGGGCTGCGGCTGCGGCTTCCGGTTGCTGTCGTTGCTGGAGGAGGAGGAGGGGCTTCCGCGAAGGCGGTTAGCGAGCCTGAGGTGGACTGAAAGGAAGGGGAGGGAGGGAGGAAGGGGAGGGAGGGAGGATAGGTGGAAAGGGCAGGTGGGTAGAAAGTTCTTCGTTCCTGTCGGTAACCGTACGCTTTGTGCTGTCTCAAAGGTTAAGCCAATTATGCCTACGTATACGGTATCCTGTTATACTGTGAAACTGCGAATGACTCATTAATCCAGTAATAGTTTAGGTAGTTTACGGTTCCTACAGTCGACCTACCGCATTGACGGGCACCCGCAGCGTGCACAAACCCTCTTCATCCGTCGTACACTCCGCCAGCAGGCGGGGGTCGCCCTGCGTGTGTGCGTGTGACGGTGTTGTTGTGGGGATGACGGTGTGCCGGGGGCGAAACACTGGGTTCAGAGAGACACAAAATCAAGAAGGTGTAGATGTGGAGGCGGGTAAGGAATGCGGCGAGGGATGCGGGCGGCAGCCTGACAACGAGCTGAGCAGCGAGCGACAAGGCCAGGAGTGACGGACGAGGTATGGGACTCTGTAAGCCCGCGCACTCGCGATCCTGACATCTGCAGTTACGCCTTTTCGTAGCTTACAGACACCTACTTACCCCACCACCACTACCAACAACAACAACACCAACACCTCGCAACCCCGCCCATGCGCTTACCCCCACGTAAGGTTGGTTGAACAGGGTCACACGCGAACCCGCCAGAGGGCCCCCTCCGACCGGCGATGAGTCCAGCAGCCAGGCAGTCAGCTGTAGCACACCGCTGCTGTCGCTGCTGCTCCTCTTGCTGCTGCCGCTACTGCTGCTAGCACCGGAATTTGGAGTGTTGTTGTTGTAATTGTTGTTGTTTTTTGGGATGATAGTGATGGTTTGCTGCATGATGCTGAAGCTCAGGCTGCTGTTCAGCAGCAGGCGGGCGTCCAGGGAGGTACCGGCCTGGAGGTGCGGGGGGGGGGGGGGGAGGAAAGGAGAGGTAGCGGCGATGGAGTGGAGAGCGTTGTGTGGTATGGGGTATATGGTATGTGGTTAGCAAAACACTGCTGGCAGCGATCAGCTTACCCACTCCCCCCCGCCCCCCAGTGGACGCCCGCCCCCACGCCCCCACGTCCCACCCCCAGCAGCAGCGCACCCACCCACCCGCCCTCCCAACCCACCTGGGAGCAGCACGCCGCCACCACTCGGGCCGCAGTGGCTGCAGCAGGCGCCAGCGGCAGCAGCAGCTGAGTCCAGTTGGCTCCCGACCCATGGGTCATCAGCGGTGCGGGGACCTTCACCAGCGTGCTGGGCTTGCCGAACACCTCCTCCAGGCTGCGGCTGTAGTAGCCGCCCTGAAGGGGTGATGGTGGTGGGGGGGGGGGGGTAAATAGGAAACAACTAACGAATCGTGTGTTGCATGATGACGGGGGGCAAACATAGTTAATTGCATCAACGGAGTCCCAATCCGGAATCCCGACTGAACCTCGACATGACGGGGGGGGGGGGTGGCGGTCATAGAGAAAGCACACACCGTTAAATCATTCTGCTGTTCTGTGTTAATTTTATATAATTCTTTCTATTTACTTTAGCGGCCATATATCGCCTACCTGGATCAACATCTTGATTACGTTGACCTTCACATCGTCCCTCGTCAAATCCACCTCCCAACCGCTAACACGGCTGGCGTACGTGGGAGTGCCGTACGTGTAGGGGCCGAGCGGAGGTGGCCCATGGGTCACATACGGCCATTCCTGCAACGTCTCCACACCCGCCTCCAGCACGGCAACCATTTCATTCAGGGCGGGAGGCGCGAATGTGTACGGCACGTAGGACGTCCAGAACTCGAACGATGACGCCTGGGGAAGGGACGCAAGGGGGCACACAATTTTCGCATGGGATGTGACATAAAGGAGGTAGGATGGCAAGTGAATTGGTGTGGACAGTGCGGCAACCGAAGGGTTCTCAGGCAACGAAACCCGCCAGCCCTGGATGCAGCAGCAGCAACCCCCAGTCAGCCCATCCCATTACCATGTCACCCTCGGCACCCCGCCTCCCCCTACCTGCAGCCCCTGTCCGAAGCCGTCACGGACGCTGTCGTCGGCGGTTATTGAGATCCTGTTGCGCCGGCGGAGGAATTAGTTTTACCTCCAACACGGTTAGGTTGGTTTGGCGCTTTCTTCCTACAATTTACCTCTTACTCTTCGATCTACATGTACAATCTATCTGCATTGTCACCGCTCCTTACCGTACTTCACGTTAGATATTGCCGCGAACATTCCGAAGCAAGTGGATCGGGACCTCAGGCTCCTCTTCCTCTTTTTCCTCACCCCCCCTCCCTCCGATCCTCCTAACCCCCCTTCCTAATAAGCCCCACCCCCCAGCCCCGGTCTCACTCACCGGTACTGCCTGCCCGGCTGCAGCTGCGGCGCACTCAGCCGCACCCTGCCGCCGTCCACCCGTGTCACCTCCACCGGCATACGCACGCAGGCGGAGGAGGGCGAGAAGACGGCGGCGGAGGCGGCTGTGGAGGAGGAGGAATTGGAGGAGGAGGCTAACGAAGACGAAGAGGAGGTGAAGCTGGAAGAGGAGCCGGAAGAAGAGGAGGAGGAGGAGGAGGCTGTATTGTTCCGCTGCACGGGCAGTCTGTAGAGGGCTATCTGGCGCGCCAGTGTGGCGACGGAGGTGGCGGGGGACAGGCCGTGGGGCAGCCACAGGTCCAGTCGGCGGTAGCTGGGTGGGAGGGAGGGCGGGCGGGGGGCGGGTAGGTAGGCAGGCGAGAGGGCCGGAAGGTAGGAGGGAAGACTTATACACACCGGTATAGATAGTAACCTTAGGCCTAACGTCATTACATTGTTAGGATTGGTGGCCGGCGACACCATTTCCCCGGGCAGCAAAGAATCCACCTGCCCGCAAGCCGCCGACCCCCCTTGCACCAGCAGAACCATCCTCCCGCCCCCAACACCATAACAGACTCCGCGGTGCATTATAACTAACCCTCCATAGCCCCTGCAACCATCCACTCCCTGCGACTAGCACCCACCCACGCACCCCACGCACCCAAACACACACGCACCCCACCCCACCCCACCCCACCCCACCCCACCCCACCCCACCCCACCCCACCCCACCCCACCCCACCCCACCCACCCACCCACCTGGTCCCCATAAAGGCGCTCGTGAAGGACTCCGGCGGGAAGGTGAACGCGAAGGGCCGCAGCCCCGTCACACTCACATTGGCTTCCTGCTGCAGCGGCCCGGACAGCGGGTGGTAGAGCGACCCACGGGTCAGTCGGAGCACGTAGCTGCGGGGCGAAAGGGAGGGAGAGAGAGGGAGGGCATGCCGAGGGTGGGGTGCGGAGGGAGGGGAACGGTGTCGCAAGAGCGAACAACCAGGATCCAGGATCCAGGAAGCATAACCGGATTTGGTCGCCTTTTCGCATGCATGCAGCAAGCAGCAAGCAGCATTGTGAGGATACATGCCTGTTGCATGACGCATGGGGCTTACGTCTTGCCGGGCTGCAGCGGGGCCTTGGGTCGCAGCGCCACACATGTGGTGGCGTTCTGGCCCTCTTCAAACAGCAGCTCTGATGAAGAGGAGGAGGAGGCGGCGGTTGGGCTGTTGGTTGCCCGGGGTGCGGGGGTGCGGCAGGGGTGCGGGGAGAAGGCGGCAGCGGGGCCCGGGTGGCTGCCGTCGGTGCCCTGTAGGAACTGAGGGAGGAGACGAGGAGGAAGGGGAGGAGGAGACGAGGAGGAAGGGGAGGAGGAGGGGGGGGAGGAAGGGGGGAGGAGGGGGGGAGGGGTAGTGTGTATGGGGTTCCTAAAACGGGGAGAGGGGGAGGAGCGTGGGAGGAGCAAGAGGAGGTAAGATGAAGGTGCAGGTGGAGGTGGAGGTGGAGGGCACAAGATGGAGCCGGTGTGAGGACGGGGGACTTGGGGGGTGACCGAGGAGGGCGAACTGGTGGGGGGGGGGGGGTTCACATGGTGGGCCGCAGGGGTCGCACAGTGTGGCCACGGGTGAACTACCGGGCGTCAAGAGGTATGCCCAGCTGCTGGCATGCATGTGGGGTGGGGTGCAACCAGCGGACCAGCGGACACTGCAACTAAGGGGCCGCGCACACCCACAGGCTTCATATGAGACACACACCATAACCCCCTCCCCACCCCCCAGTTCGGTACCTGCAGCGCGGATTGCAGCATCCGCGGGTCCACTGGCTGACTGAAGCTCAGCACAATCTTGCCTGCGAGCGGAGGGGGCAGCCGGTGAGTGCATGTGGCGGGAGCTCAGATGGCATGCACGGAGGCAGGCGGAGCGGGCAGGACAGGCGGGCGGATGGGAGGAGGAGGAGGAGGAGGAGGGGGCGCAGCGGTGCAGGGCTGCGGGGCGATGCAATGTCGTGTGTGAGACGTCCTCGGCGCAACCATCCTCTCCGGGCAGCTAGTCAGCAGCAGAGAGGTACCGCGGAGCGTACCAACCCGCCTTCAACCCCGCACCCTGGCCCCTCCTCTTTGCTACCCCAGCCGCACCCCCGCACCCCACCGCCCCGCCTGGCCCCACTTCCAACCCCACTCGCTCCTCTTCACAACCCCAACCGCCACCCCCCCGCCCCCACCATCCGGCGGCACCTCCGGCAGCTGGCCCGCCCCCGCCGCAAAGGGGCTCCACAGCCCCCCTGTCAAGTTGCGGGCGGTGGGGCTGTCCACGTCGGTGAGGAACATCTGGAGCGGGTGGCTGGTCAGGCGGACGGAGGGGGGCGTAGGGCCCAACTGCAGAGGCACGCCTGCAGGGGGATGGGAGGAGGGGGAGCAGGGGCAAGAGGAGGAAGGGAAAGGAGGTGGGGTTCGGGAAGGGAGGGTGTCGGAACACCAGGAAGGAAGGAAGGTTGGGAGGATGTGGGTTTCGACATCCGAGAAGTCTGCATGTGACAGAAGCATTTCTGCTTGCGTCTACATGAGTCATGTGGTTGCGTTAGCGGGGCCCTGTGTGCCCGTCCATGTATGCCGTGCATGTGGTGTCTACGGGTAGGCTTCCTCTACCCGATGTACACATTCGTCGTACAATCATGTGTCGTACTACATCCGTACTACATTGCCGTACCGTCGTACGTCTCCAGGCTGGTGTTCCAGCGCAGGTCGCACGCGAGGTCGGAGGGCCAGTCGGCGTCCGGATCGAAGCGCGCGATGGTGGTGGTGACCCAGCGGGTCTTTCCGGGCATGCGGCAGGACAACTGGAAGGGGAGCTGCATGCGGGGCGGGGAGGAGGGCGTACGACAGAAATGAGGTACGGAAATGGGGATGCGGGAAAAGGGGGGGAGCGGGAAAGGCTCTCACATGGGAAGTGATAAGTTGCGGGCGGGGCAGCGAGGTCGTGTGTAAGGTTTTCAGCACGTAGTGTTTGGAGGTCTAGATGGAAAGTTTGGAAAGTGGAGGCAAGAGACCCGTGGGTCCATGCTTCACGGATCGCAAGGCTTAGCGCCTGCCTTACCTTTTGTTGTTCTGCTGGTGTCCCGAAGTCGGAGCCGAGTGCAATCACAGGACGGGAGAAGACGACCTGCGGAGGATTGCGTTCGGGAGGAGGAGCCAGCTTCAGTGTGTGTGTAGGCGGTACCGGCCCCGGCCCCGGCAGCGTTCGACTGGCAGCGGCACAGAGTGTATCATCTTTTCACATCCCCCCGTGAATACCGCCCCCCAATACGCAACACGGATCGGTGGAACACAGAATAACGACGCACCGTTATGGCTTGCCGGCCGAACATGCTCACGGAGCCATTTCCAGGGTTGGCCAGTTCCACAGGAGTTGTAATGATAATGCTAAGGGGCAGTTGCTGCTGCAAAAAAGCTTGTGGCTTGCCCGCAGCCCACACCGTGTTGGTGGAAGTGAGGATCGCGCACATCAGCAGCGCAGCCGCGCGTAAGCGGCTGCCTTTATACGCCGTCATCTCCTGTGTGGAGTTCGGGAGGTTGGTGTAGAGCTCTCAAATTACGATAAGATTTAGGCCGAGATATAGGTACACCCAGAAGCTGCTTTAGGAGCAATGCCAGTATGTTCCGCGAGCTTCCGGCAAGTCCTGGCCAAGACAGGGCCCATCGCACATTGCGTTGCTCAGAAAACGCCCAACCTGCCTTATGGCTTGGGGACAGAGCTAAGGGTTGTTTGATTATTCTGAACTGGCGTATGACGTCCGACAAGCATTGAGTCGTGCCCCTTGCAAGCCCGACCTATGCACCAACTTCCGACGGGTCAATGGGGGTTGCGAAGTAAGCCTGTGAACCGTAATATCAGTCAGTGTTATCTTTACAATGAGCAACTACTGTTGTAGCCTATCTGTCTCTCTGTCCAAGATTGTGAGAGTTGTGCTCAGTAGTTGTTCGACAAACTCGTCCATACAGCTATGTACTAAACATGGCTAACAGAATGGAACTTTTATCAGGTATACTAGACGAGCGTGAGCGAGTTCCCGCATCCCGCAGTGCAAGCGGGCAGTACGCATGGCGAAGCTTCCCATGTTCGTACGTGTTGTACGCCGCAGTGGCGTTCTCATTTCCTTCTCACCCGGAGCAGGCCCGTAGCGCACCTTTGTTATGATGCTTGGTAGCTACCGATGCACCGAAAGATATCCTCAAATGCCCATCGTTTTCGTGATCTTAGAGGCTAGTACGTACGGTACGGTTGTCCGCAGGATATCTGTCGTGGCTATCTGTCTTAGTCGGATCTTATCGTCGATGATCCCTTTCCCAGATGGCAGTGTTGCCACCGGATCCGTCAGGCTTTTGTGACCCAAGTCCGTGCGTCCTGCCAATCTAGGCCCCGCTCATTTTTCCTAGTCTTGACGCCAAGCCCCGCTAGCACCATTCTCCAGGCAGTTCCGCCCTCCTTGTAACCCCTTTAGCGAGAGTGGTACTTACGGACCAATGAGTAGCACTCGCCCTCTTGGGTCTGTTGAGGAGATGAGGACCTACACGGGGCCAAGAACTGATCGAGCACGAGACTGGGATTTCTTCTTTCAAGGATTGTCGGAGGTCATAAAGTGTGCAATATAGTTGTATACCTCACATGGGACGTGCGTGTGTGCGATGACTGAAGCATACAATACGTACGGCATCCACGATTAACCTTCAACGTTGTGCACAAAGTCGTTGTGCCCGCATAATCAGCACAACCATGTTCTTTTTGTTGACAAGTATTTCGGTATCTGCATACATAGGCTGTCGACATCTTCTAAGTTGAATGTCACAAAGCATCCCCACCAATGCTCAGGAGCTGCTACAGCTCTGGGACTCGTCCATCTCACAACTCCTTCGTAGGACCGCTCTTAATGTGCGCTGTGAAGTAGCTTCCCTTCAGTGGAAAATAGCGCTTACGGGTCTCCCATTCTCGCAGGGATGCGCACCGCCCGCCGTGGTTGACGTCCGACCGCCTGCTTATGCACGCAAAATGTACAAACTCGTAGCGCTTGTAGACGGTACAGCTACGTCTATCTTTGACGGCGTTACCCAGTATCTGCCTTTCACGACGGTCCATCAGGAGGCGCGACCGGGGCACCAAAGCGGCTTATACGTCTATTCGACAGTGGAGGAATGCCTGAGCACAGGAATGGAGCACTTTCCCCATCAAAGCAAGCTGAAGGACGCGCCGCGGGCCATCGCAGTCGTCCTTGCATGGTGGGGCCAGACAAGTTCTGCTGGACGTCTGCCAGGCTGCACAAATACTAGCAGTCCGAGCAAGTTGTTCAAATAGACAATCCAACACGCGTACATTTGTGTCTTCTTTTGCAGGAACGATGAGGACGCCAGGCCTTCAGTGTCGTACGGGCCCAAAAAGTGTTACAGCTACCTCCACCTGGTGGATCTGCTGCCCGTCAACCGCCCAGCTTCTCCGCCGGGACCCCAAATGGCTCACGGGCGCTCTGGAAGACCCTTTTCACATCGCACACAACAAGGAAACCTTGCCAGGTACTGCTGCGGATGCTGGGGTGTTTTATGTGTCGTTGGGTCTTGTGTGTTGGGGGGGGGCTTGATTGGATGCCCTGGAGGGGCAGGAGTGTTGGCGCGTCACACTGCATCACGTTGTAAATGACCGAGGGCACGTTTACACGCAGGGCTCAGGCGACAACTATACAGCTGGAGATGGAGGTGCAGGATATGGAGGAGCGACTGTACCGTGCACGTCGCATGCGCTGGATGTCCGAGCAAACCCTTGCCTAGCTTGAGATCCAGCTTAACTGACATGGCACAAGTAGATATAGTGATGGCTTTGCATAGTACAATAGGGTGGAAAGCAGTTGGAACACTCTGACTGCCAACGTGCCAAGATCAATGTACAGGTACTGTAGTTCTGGAGCTGTCGTTTTCATATTGAGGAATTGTAAAAACGTCATTAACCAACAAGATACTTTGCGTCAGCCTTAGGCTGGATTTGTAGGAAGAGCGCTTACGCCAAGGCGCTTTGTTAGTTTGTCCTTTGCACCGAGGATGTATTTACATTAGCATTGTAGCCCAGTGCCCTTGTCCAGTTCCCGCTCTAGGCAACTCAATTGTAAAACTCTATTCAGTAGACACAATATAGGGACGGAATGGCTTGCTGTCCGCGAGCGGGCGGTGCACACGTGGCGTCATGGCTCGCGGGCGCGCTTCTATTGCTCCGGTTGTTGTCTTTTGCAGCAGCGGACGTGTACATCATGGTGTGTGCAGCTGAAGTGGATGTTCTGATGCAAACAGGAGGGCATGACTTGCCGAGCGACAACGCAACTTTGCAAAAAACATTAGACGATAACGCACTTTGGTTCTTATCCCTTTATCCTTGTTTTCAAACATAACATTCATGTAGTGTACAGCTTACTTTAGCGCCGGTCCGCGCCATATCCCGACGGGACCCGGCCTGCATGACCTCGCCATTAAACCCCAATCTCCTTGCCTCCTCCCTGCTGCCCTCCGCCAGACCCCCACATACGCCTTGGACCCCTTGCCGGACATACCGGCGGACTTCGGTCCAGAGATTCCCGACATTGGTATCGAGGGCCTGCTGCGGGTAAGAACGACTCTCCCCTAACGCTCCCTCTCTTTTCCCACCCTTGGCCTCCTCGGCCTACCCTCCCTTCCTCACTTTCACTCCTACCTCTTTCCATCCCATCCCTTTCCTCCCATCCCTTCCCTTTTCCTTCCCTCCCTTCCCTCCCTTCCCACTTCCCAACCCCCACCCCCCCAGTCCGCTGACCCCGAGGACGCCTGCTCGCCGCTCACCTTCTCCGACTTCGATCAGCCCTGGGTGGCGCTCATTGCACGGCAGCAGCAGCCGCACGCCAACAACTGCACCTTCGACATCAAGGTAGGGGCGGGTGGGTGGGTGGGTGGGTGGGTGACGCGGGTGGAACAGAAGAATACCCAGCGTGCGGGGTGGGCGGGTGAAGTGGGTGCCGGTGATGCTGCTGCTGCCAGTGGTGGTGGTGCTGCTGCTACCTAATCGACCCTTGATGAGCGCAGAGAGCCGGGATCGCCACCTAGCCTCTGCGCTTCATCCTGTGTGATCACCTCACCGAACGGAACGTAACATGCCCCCACCCCCACATCTGCACCTCCCTAGTTTGTTCGATTTTGAACCCCCTCCTCCCTCCTCCTCCCTCCCTTCCCTCCTCCCCCTCCTCCTCCCCCTCCTCTCCTCTTGCCCCTCCCCCCCCCCCGGCTCCTCCCAGGTCATGAACGCCCAAGCCGCGGGCGCCCTGGCCGCTATCGTGTACGACGACGTGTACGAGAGCCTCATCATCATGAGCAAGCCGCGCGACCACCCCGACCCGGGCATCTCGGCTGTGTTCGTGTCGCAGAAGGCGGGCATCATCATGCGCAAGATCATGACGCTGGACACCATCCGAGTGCGCATCACGCCGGTGAGGGGGAGGAGAGAAGGTGGGGGGAGGGAGGGAGGAGGGAGGAGGGAGGGAGGAGAAGGGAAAGGGGGAGAGAGGAGGAAGAGGGTGTGCGCATCACGCACCGGTGAGGGGAAAGGGGAAGGATGAGGGAAGGAGGGAGAATGAGAGAGTGAGGAGGGGAAAGTCTTTTCTTTCAACATCGTTTTGCCTAGACGGATTTGGGTTAGGCTGAACGGGCCGTCAACCGCCCTGCTGGCGCCTACACGCATGTCGCACATGGCTAGTTGCTATCTTCCCCTCTCCCCCATCACCCTCCTCCCCTCCTTCCATCCACCCCTCCTCTCCCCTCCCCGAATATGTATCCCTATTTATCCCCACCCTCCTCCCTCCCTCCCCTCCCCCCCCAGCTGAGCAGTGTTGCCTGGCTGTCCATGTTGATGAGCGCCTTCCTGGGGGTGCTGGCGCTGGGGGTGGTGCTGGCAACCTTCTACGTCATGAGGTCGTGGAGCATGTGGATCACGGTGGGGGGAGGGAGGGGGCGGGAAGGGAGGGGAGGGGAGGAGGAGGGAGAAGGAAGGGTGCGGCGCCACCGCTGAGACTGCCTATCATGGCATCATAATGCAGTTGACTGCATCACAGTGCAACCAAGCTAAGCGGGTTGTATGCTACCCCCCCCCCCCCCGGGTATGTCAACCCTCCCCCTCCTCCCCCGCTACTGCAGGGCATGCATCACCGGGGCTTGGGCGGCGTGGCGGGTGGGCCGGGTGGGACGATGCACGGCGCGGCGGGTCAGTTGCGACCCACGGGTCCGCCGCATGACCCTGGACTGCCTGCAGAGGCGCTGAGGCAGCTGCCGGTACTGGTGTTTGAGCCACCAGGTGCGAGGCAGGGAGGGAAGGGAAGGAGGTAGGAGGGGAAGGAGGGGGAGGGAAGGGAAGGAGGTAGGAGGGGAAGGAGGGGGAGGGAAGGGAAGGAGGGCGGAAGGGAAAGGGATGGAGAGCAGCAGGGGCTGCAATGCGGTGCAGCAGAGGAAGGTCCGGGCCTCGTCAGCAGGGCAATGGGCAATGGGCGAGTGGTACGAACCCGTATCGAATGCCGCGCCAATGTATCATCCATCCCGACCCATCCCACTGACCCGACCGCCCTTATCATTCGCTGCCTCATCACCCGCAGCGCCCCGGTCGCGCTCCGCCGCCGCCGTCGCGCCCAGTGTCGGCGGCGCCGAGTCGTCGTCGCTGTTGCGACCCATGGGTCTCATGGGCGCCGCCGTGTGGGTCAATGAGGTGGGCGACGAGGCGGAGATGCGGGCGTTACTGGCGGGCGCGGGAGCCGCCGGGGCGGATGCGGATGTGGAGGCGGGGCGCGGCGGCGGGGAGGGGCATGCGCAGGAGGTGGAGGTGGACAGGGTATCCCGCAGCAGCAGTGAGAGCGGTTGTACGAGCACTGCCGTACATTACCCGGCTACCGCCGCCTCCTCGCTGGCTGCCGCCGCGGCGAGGCTGCCGCGGCCCCCGGGGGCCCATGCGGGGGAGACGAAGCGCGTGTGCGCCATCTGCCTGGAGAGCTACGCGGAGGGGGAGAAGGTGGGGAGCGGGGGGAGGTCAGAGATGTGCTGGACAGTAGGAAAGGGCCAGTTAGGGGGAAGCAATGGGGCAAAGCAATGGGGGGCATAGGAGGCGGCAGGGTGGCACAATGAATGTTGGATGAGGTGAGGGTGAGGGTGCGGGTGGGGGGCGGGGCAGAGATACATGGGGAGACCAGCAGACAACATGCCTCCCTTCCCCTCCCTCCTTCCCCTTCCCCCGCCCCTCCCCCCCTTCCCCAGATCCGCGTGCTGCCCTGCGCGCACCGCTTCCACATGAGCTGTGTGGACCAGTGGCTGGGCGGCCGCCGCTGCTGCCCCGTCTGCAAACACGACGCGTCGCAGCCGCTGCCGCTGCCTGCACGGGCGTCCTCATCCTCCTCGTCAGCAGCAGCAGTGGGTGCAGGGGGTGCGGGGGGAGGAGGAGCAGGGGGCGGTGGTGGTGGTGGTGGGGTGGCGCAGGTGGTGAATGGCTGGTCGCTGCTGATGGCGGGACTGGCGGATGTGCTGTGGAGGAGCAACAGCGGAGGAGCAGGAGGAGGAGGAGGAGGGAATAGCGGTGGAGTTGCTAGGCAGCAGCAAGGGCAGCAGCAGCGGTGGCGTCGTGGGGGAGGTCGGCAGCAGCAGCAGAGGAGGGATGGCGGAGCGGGACGGGCAGCTGCGGGGTTGCAGGTGGGGTTGCCCGGGGGGGGTTGGGGGAAAGTGTGTGCGGGTGCATTGAGGGCGGTGGAGCACTCTGCTCGCCGCGTCTAGCCTCGCCGCGTTTACAGCCGCCTTGCCTCCTTGTCATCATGCCTCCTCTCACTCCGCCCCCCTCTTCTCCCATCCGCCCTAACCCCCACCCACCCACCCATGCTCCACAGGAGCCCCTGCTGCCCCGCAGCGCCCCACCGCAAGAGGCACCCCCTCCGCGCCAGCACCAACAACAACACCAACACCAGCAGCTGCTCCAACAGCAGCAGCAGCACAGGGCAAATGCCCCCGCGGGCGACATAGAGGCCCCCGCCCCCGCCGGCACCTCCCAACCTGCCATTATCCCCCCTCCCACCACCACCACCACCACCACCACCACTCTGCAACAACCACCGCAGCAGCGCCAACCGCACACCACAACACCGCATCAGGGGTTGTCAGGGTCGGGCTCAACTGGGGCTGCTGCTCCCCTTCCTCCTCCTCCTCCTGCCGCTGCTGGTACTCCTGCTGCTGCTGGTGCTGGTGCTGGTGCTGGTGCTGGTGCTGGTGCCGGCAGCAGCCCCCTCCCCCCCGGAGCAGCAGGAGCAGCAGCAGGTGGCGGCAGTGGCAGTGCCCCGGCGGCCCCCGGGGGCCTGCGTGCAGCGGTGGCTGGGTGGCTGCTGGGGGCGCTGCGGCGGGGCGCCCGCTGACACCGCTGCGGGCGGTGGGGGGAACAGCCAGGAGCAGCATTGCAGTGCCGCAGCAGCAGCCGAGTTGGAAAGGGGTTTTGGAGATTAGAGATGTATCAAGAGCACAGCAGGCAGGCAGGCAGGGTCGCAGGGGGTTACGCTCACGGCTGGGGGGCCGTGTGGTTAGAAAGAGCGATTGTGGCGGGCGTTGGGTTTGAGGGTTTGAGGGAGGGGTTGAAGTAGAGGAGTAGAGACAAACGCTAACCGTAGGGCAAGGCTACACCATGGGCTGCATGATAGTGCGGGAGAGGGGAGCGGAGAGGATAGCCAACGTTGGGTTGGTCGGTCGGTTGGTTGTAGTTGTACTTGAGGGGGGGCGTTGGGAGCGAGAGCTCAGGCTACTTCGCTCAGGCGAGGAGGAGTGTGCTGGGTTGAGAGGGTAGGCGGGCACACCTAGCAAGGGTGGGCGGTGGGTGTAAGGGATGGGCGGGTGGGAGTGCGTTAGGTAGGCGCTTGCAGGGCACGTGGTAGAGGTGGTGAGGGTGAGAGCGGGAGGGGAGGGGAGGGTGAGAGCGGGAGAGGGGTGGGGGGACTGAGGGGCATGGAGGATGGTGGCCTGACAGCGATTGGGCGCACATGGGAGGGAGGCGTGGGGGGTTGAGGGGGATTACCAAGGCCTTCTTCTTAAGCCTTATGTACCTTTGGCCTGCTGCTGGGTTTGCTGCTGGGTTTGAGGCTGTTGAGGACCCTGATGTGGAGTGCCGTCATCCCCCTGACTTGCTGATGACCCGCAAAGGGGGTTCACTGTTGACCGTGACGGAAGGAAGGGATATCCGGCAAGCATTAATGTCCAGCGCCCACCGCAGCTTGGCTACAAATACCCACGAGGGTAAGCCATGTTTTGTCCGCTGCTGGCCGCTACATTCAAAATGACTGAGGATTCGAACTGAGGACCTGGACTGGGGGTTTGGGCCTCCTGAGGAAGCCCTGGCTTGGGGAAGGTGAGGATAGGTGCAGGAGGAGCAGCAGGAGAGCCCGAGGAGAGGATCCGTTCTTGTGTTGACAGTTGGCCGGGGGCCCGGGGCATGCACGTCCTCATCATACACATGCTCCCCGATGCAACAACCTGCGGTGCGTTAACCCCCTGATCCCACCCACCCACCCAACACGGTATACGGCTTATGTGCCACCGCCGTATACACATGCGCGATATATATGCTGGGTACAGCTTGTCGTGTACATCGCTTTCTAGTTTTACCAGATAGACGCAATGGCATGTCACATTGTGCGCCGGCGGTTGGGGGTGCGCAGGGCTTAGGGCACATAGCCAAGAAGGCCGATGTGTCACTCTGCGTGTGTGTTTGTGGTGGTGCATACATGGGGTAGGCATGGCTTTGTAGGTTGGCAGGATTGGGACGCTTCCTTATTTTCGCATGGCGATATGGCTCGGCTTGGCACCACCCGAGCTTTACACCTCATTGTTCAAGCGTAGCAGTTGTCGTTGTTGCTGTTGTAGCCCCGGCTCTCACCAGATTGTTGTACCACTAACAAGAACTTGAAGGAGCGTTGTAAGGGAGGAATATTTTGCGTGGGACGGCTCCTTTTGCCGATTTGATGGAGGACGTTTGCTGTATTGCAAGCAGAGCTCGTAGCAGGCGTCGGGAGGAATGCCCCAACCAGACATCATCCTCCATGGGTTGCCATTGTTGCACGGCAAATGGCCTGTGTTTGAAATTACATTACCTGTATAAGAATCGTCTTGGTTCCAGTCGTACTTGCTTACATTGGCATGACGCCACAACTGCCCCAATGGGAATTGAAACCAGAGGAATCGAACCGCGTAACAAAACCACACGTTTGGGAACGGGCGGGAGCGACAACGGAAGGAACTGTTCAACGCAGCGGTCTGCAACCCCCACGCAATGGGAGCTCTCACAGATTCCAACAACAAGAAGGACGTTGTACATGCCCTCCCAGGACAGGGAGACGGTCGCAAGGGTGCCGCTGCTAATCTCACTCTTAAGCAAACGTGCGCAGGACCCGTTGCCTCCCTCGCGTCACCTCCCTGTGCCCCCGTCACCCTTCATCGGCAGCAGTATTGAAGAAGCACACCTGCATAACCCCCCGGTATGCAGAAATGGGCATAGCACCCATAACCGTTGCTCTGTCTGACTCTATTCTCCCGCACTACCGTATCTTCCCTGCCGACCTGTTGTATGCCATGCAGGACGATTTCTCCGCACATGCACCTCTCTTTCCCTCTCTCTCCAAGAACCCCTTTGCAATCTTCAACCACGCAAAAACCAAACTCCGAAAAGGCTGCATGCCACAATAAGCCGCAAGACATGGCAAACTGCACAGAAGTACGGCACCGCATCACCTACTCCACTCCCTTCGACTTCGAAATCACTTTCGCATGCACAGCGACAATACACCGCAGGACAGCACTAGACTCCCTCTAATTTGAAATCACTTTCGCATGCACAACAATAATACACCGCAGGACAGCAGATCGTATCATGCTCAGCAGGTCACATCGGGCGCTGCCATGCTGCCACAAACGATCATGGTGTGACTTCTCAGGCCGTACTCCCAATCGATTCCCCATATCCACACAAAGGCATACCAGGTACCCCTCGTTCCTCACTTCTCATGTTACGCACAAACACCATTCAGCCAGGGTATTATCCTTCTCAATTGTACCAATCCAAAGGAAGGCAAGAGTGAAGGCCCAATGCCTAGCCCAATAAGACGCATCTCAGATACAGGCTTGTGCTTGTACATGATCTTTTGCATGACAAGAAGCTGTGCCAATCAGAGTGAGAAGCGACCGGAAAAGGGTGGAAGCAAGACTGATGGCTGTGGCTTCAGAAACCATAAAACATGTAACAGAAACCGCTCAACGGAACAAACAGCCATGGACAACCAGCGCTCAAATGACTACGTGCAAATCAGCGCTCAAATGACTACGTGGAAACCTATTTTTGTACTAAGACACACAATGCACCGCTTGAGCTGCGCATTGTGTGGGGGCAGCGCCCATTTCGCGTCAGCAGTTAGCCACGAGACAAGTGTTCGGGACGCAGAATGGCGTAGGACGGCTAGATAGCTTGCAATGCACACTTCTCAGCAAATATATGACCTAAGATGCACCAGCAGGGCTCAATGAGACGATGACATTCGAATGCCAGGTGTATCACAGCGCACAGAAACGTTGCGCGTGTGAACGGTCGGGACGCGTCGTTAATTACCCTCTAGTATTTCTTCGCCCGAAAGGCAACTTCGTTCGTCCTTCAATTCACGATGTTACCAATTTTGACCGGCGATTACGAGCTCGGGAGAAATAAAACCTCGCTTCGCCCAAACTTAGATACTTACTACTAATCGAGAAGGTAATGAAACCGCTTTCATTACTGTAGCAGTAGTATTACGTAATAAGCTCCTTACTCATAACGTTACTGTGCCGGTAAGGCAGCCGCGATGGCGCTCGCGATCGGTAGGTTGCTGTTGCCAGCAGCGACTCCGGATGCCAGGGATATGCTGCCCAGGCGCGAGGGCAGGAGAGGACTCTGGCTGTTGCTGCTCAGCTGACCTGAACTCCGTCGCACTGGGACCTGCAGTACACGGGCAGCAGGGAGGGGCCATTTTGAGTAGGAATGAAAGGCTACTGAAATGAGGGCCGTGCCACTGTCGACAAACAGGGGTTAGTTTAGTCGCACAATGGTTCATGGTGATGCACTGTGCAACATAGCACAGTCCCAGGCAGCCCCGGGTTTGCAGCTTTACACCGCATGTTGCTATTTCAGACAACAAACTGAAAGACCACCACAAGACCACCACCCACACATGCAGGGCTCCACTCAACTTCCGACCCTCCCGCCCCCACCTCACCCGATGTGCTGCTGCAGCAGAAGCCGAGGACGCCGGCACACTCGCTGCCCCTGCCGCCAGCCACGGGTGTTGCAGCAGCTGCTGCGCCGTGGGTCGGTCCTCGGGCCTCTCCGCCAGCGCCCGGCGGATGAAATCTCGCGCGGCGGACGAGGTGGAGGCGGGGAAGCTCAGGCTCTTGCACGTCGCGTTGGCGGCCAGGAAGGAGGCGGCTGCTGCTGCCGTGCCGGCCTGGGGGTGGTGGTGGTGGTGTGCTGCTGCTGCGGCCGCCGCGGTGGCGGTCGCCGCTGGGTCCGCCACGAAGGGCGGGAAGCCCACCAGCAGCTCGTATGCCAGCACACCCACCGCCCACACGTCCTGAGGAGACGGGGAGGAAGGGGAGGAGAGAGGAGCGATATAAAAAAGGAGGGGTGCTTTGTATGTACGGCCCCCCAAGCTTTGCATGTACGGCCCCCCAAGCTTTGTATGTACGGCCCCCCAAGCTTTGTATGTACGGCCCCCCAAGCTTTGTATGTGCGGCCTTTGCACAGGGCTCACGTCGCTGTTGGCAGTCAGCACCCGTGGCAGCACAGTAGAGAGTAAGGGAGCCCGAGGGATCCCGCCGGCTTGCTTACCACGGCGGTCGTGTAGGCGAGCGACTCGTTCTCCTTGTTGTCCTCAGGCAGCGCCTTGAGCGGGCAGCGCTCCACCTCCGGGGCCATGTACTCCACTGCATGCAGCGGGGAGCGGGGCAGGAAAGGGGCAAGACGGGGCGAGGCGGGGCAGAGGAGGAACGTTCCATGGGGATATAAAACAGGGTTGGGAGGTCCATGAGACTTTGTTAACAAAGTTTACTGGTCCTTGGCAGCAGGCGACCATGAATGTATAGGCAGGCGGCCAGTGAAAAGCGAACTCGCCAAGATGCTGTAAGTGACCCACGGGTCACTCGACTCATGCTTACGTGTGCCGGCGCGCGTGACCGCCCGCTCCTCGTTCAGGTCGATGCTGACTCCGAAGTCCGCAATCACGAGGCGCCAGTCCTGTGTGAACAGGATGTTCTCGGGCTGCAGCGGGGAGCAGGCGGCAGGGAGGGGGGTAGGGGAGGGGGGTAGGGGAGGTGTGAGGGAGGTAAACAGGAAACAACTAACCGTATGATAAAGCTTCATCACGGATTACAACATGTGATCAATTGAGGTAGGAGAGGTGGGTGAGGTGGGTGGGGACCTGGGGAGGAAAGGGATGGTGGGGAGGGACGCTGCTGCTCCTTAGCCACATGCCTCCTCAGCTACGTTCCCCAGCTACGAACCCCCCCTCCCCTCACCTTGATGTCTCTGCAGCCCGTGTCCCAGGGGAGACAGCCGCCGCCAGCAGGCAGCAGCATAACAGCATAACGCAAGAGGGTGAAAGGCAGGGGCGGGCACCTTAGTACCAGTAGCTTGTAGCAATCAACTCTGCCGGTAGCTGGTAAAAGACAGCACAGCTTCCTTTCCCAAACCTTCCATGCATGCGCCAAGCACGAGGGTACGACCGGCAAACAACATACGTTTTGAAGCAACAACATACCTGTGGCAGATCCCGCGTGCATGCAGGTAGGCCAGGCCGTTGAGGAAGGGCGCCAGCACCAGCTCCGTCAGCTGTCCCTCACTCATGCGCTGGTTCATGGAGCGGTAGATGCCGAACAAGTCACCCCGGGCTGCAAACTCTTGGACCAACACCAACAGCTTCTGTGTGTGGGAGGAGCAGGGATGAGCAAGCATGAGTGTCAGAAGGAGTGAGGACATACAGGACAAGAGATCCTTAAAGGGACGTCCACAAAGGGCGGTGTTTTAAAGAAGCAAACAGCACTCGACCGCTGCAAACTGCAGTCCAATCAAGAGCTCAATACATGCACGATGCCGCAGCTGGATAACTTGAATGCGAGCTGCCGTGCAGCCTAGGCACAAGCCGCTGCCCCCATTTTGCGTCTCTTTCAACGATGCTTGATCGAACCGAGCGCGCGACAACCCGTAGGGCGTCCAATGCTGTTGTTCGTACATAAGCACCGGTACATACCTCATCCTGCAGATATGAAGAGTATGTTAAAATACGCAAAGTGAGGGGGTCATACATCTAGGGCGACATACCAGGTAGAGGCAGACAAAGGGGCAGAACACACCAGCAGGTACTGATGGCTACATGGCTGTAAGCCTCTTGTGTACCGCGTTTTAGTGTCCCTACCTGGAAAACGCCGTACAACATCACGATGTTCTTGTGCACGAGTGGCGCGTGGATCTGCGCATGAGGGTTGGTCAGGAGGTAAGTGGCATGCCATATCCACAACACGCATTACGTGTGCCAGCGTCCTTCGCTGCTCCCTTGCATGGTGGCATGCAGGGCTGCGGTGTTAGGCGGCGTGACCCATGGGTCACTCAGGACACCGTCAAGCTGGTCCCATGAACCAACAGGAAAGCTGTGCAGAGCCCAGGATGAGACATACCTTGACTTCACGAACAATCCTGCGTGCAAAAGGGCGCCGTGTGTTAGCTCGGGCTTCACTAGGGGTGTTAAGTTCCATGCCCCATGCTTAACAGCAGCAGTCAGAGCACGCTCGTCACTCACATGTGTATCACATTGGCTGGAACACGCGAGAGGAAATAAACCTGCGCGACGGCAGTAAACCTCTAGTAAATATCTGACCGTGGCATCGGGGCAAGAAACAAGGGAAGGTTTCCTGCTCGGGATTAACTCATGGTTGGGTTACCCCATGCCGTGGTTGGGCACCAGCTTAGGTTAACAGGCTGTTTCTAGTCGTAAACACCCAATCAACACCCAACCGCTTCTGTGCGGCGCTGCATCCCCCGTTACCTTGAGGGCGACAGGCAGGCCAGAGCGCCGACATGTCGCCTGCGGGTGGCGAAGCTTAAACGCTAAATAATATTACAATAACCGTTTGGAGCGTTGCGTCAAAGGCCTCTTGCAAAATGGTGACAGTTTGACACGTACGGTACATGTACGGTACATGTACGGTCGAAACATTGAAGAACACTACCGGTCGACATGAGTTGAGTTGAAACACCACCAGTAGGTAGTGCTGCATCTGTTGCGATGTGACGCGACGCACCTTGTAAACCGCTGCTGTAGTGCTCTTGTAGATCCGACAGGACACGTCATAATCCTGCATTGGAGGTAGCATGTTTAACAGATACCTGTACGACAACGGACCACTTCCGGTCATGAACGGAAACACACAATCCTTGCAATCCAGCTCCTCCAGGCAGACAAGACAAGGCCACCTCACACTCCTGCATGCTCACAAGCGGCAGGCTTCTCCACCACCTTTCAAGCTATAGAGATGAAATTGGAGTTTGTTCTAGCCCCTGGATGGATAGGAACCCCCGCCGGCTATCCTAACCACCCCAAGCAAATGCACAGCTACAAACCGCCAGCTGCTCCTTGCTCAACGGCGACACGCACCTCCAGGCTCCAATCCTGCCGCTGCATGGCTGCTGGGAGGCCCGGACACACGGCCAGCAGCATGCTCCTGCAGGCGAGCTGCGGCTCGGCTGCTGGGGCCTCTGGTGGGGCAGATGCCGTCGGGGCTGGGACCGGCACCGGGCCTGGGGCCGCACAAGCGCCAGGGCAACCGGCTTGCTGCGCCGCCTGGTTGCCTGGCTCGGAGCTCTGCGCCGGCTTGACGGCGGGTTTATCCGGGGCACCCTTCGCAGCCCTGGGATGCGGAGCAGATGCAGCTCCACTATCCCGGTCTGCTTCTTGGCTGGGTGGCAGAGGCGGCAGGACGGCCGCAGAGCGCATTGAGGGCTGCTCCCAAGAACCGGTAGGCAGGATGGAGGCATGCCTGCTGAGCTGGGCTCCTTTGGGCGGCTGCGGAGGGTGATGTCCGGGCCGGTGTTCGTAGCTGGATGACAGCTGGCACAACGAGGCATCACATGGACCGGAATGGCTGTGCTGCAACGCCGCCTGCAGCGAGAGGAAAAGTAGAAAATAAAATAAGATGCGAAGGTACAGTACACTGAATTCCTTGCATAATGCGAAGGGCCAGCGGACAGACAAGAAAGCGGTTGGAACGAAACTCGGTGTTCCCAGACAGGATGCCAGCAAGCTGTACCAAACATAGATGAAATTAAGCTGAAACAATTGATGCTGTTAAATGAGTGACGTATGCGATGTAAGGGATACTGCGTATGCGGGAAAGGGAGGACATCCATGAAACTGTCGCTTTGTTCCTCTAACCCAGAGATTGCAAAATAACAGTCGCGTTGGAAAGCAAGTAATAGTTCCCCGTATCCTGCATACCGCTCGGCCTCTCGCGGACGCCCCGGTGGCTTGAGCGAGCGGCGGACGGTCGTAAGCCTTCTGGGAACCGAAAGGCAAGCGGAAGGAAAGCGCTCCAAGATAACCAGCAGAGCCCCTTGAAAGGCTGTCAATGCTGCTCTTTTCCAAGCTTGTCGTCGAGATAGCTGCAAAGCGAGGGGTCTTCATCGGAACGTCGCTGGCAAGCGGGGACGGGGAAGCCCCCAACCCGTCATCCTTGGCTTTCAGGATATTTAAAAAACGCTTCAGAGTGCTGACAAAACGGCTACTCTTCGGGCTCTTGCCACCCGCTTGGGTAGCGACCATACTGGCGCCTTCTGACGACATTAAGCAGCTGGTAGACCACGGCGACTTTAGAGGACTACCAGTATGTAAACGCAGCTGACGGTTGTGCGTGGGTGTGGGACGAGCAGGACTGAGTACAACCTTGTACCGTGAAGGGACAGCTAATGAGCTAAATAAATATAACGACTACGCCTTCGAGTCTCGTTAGGCAATCTGGACAAGTTCGTGTAGTAGTGGAGCGGAGCCTAGGGGCTGCAAGTCCTAACAATGCCGCAGCGCAAAAGGCCACAGGTCGTAAACAATCCTAACGCCATACAGTATATACTACATCAATTAACACGATGATGAAAAGTAGCGGCGTAAGGAAATCGTCTATAAAATTTCAGCGGGCGTGTAAGGCAGACTTGCAAATACGACATCTGCTTCGTCAACCACTCGCTTATACTTGCACACATCGCACATCATACCAGTAGATGTTTCCAGGAAAATGCATAATATCTTATCTGTTTTGCCAAATGTGTGTTGCGATGCCAGCGAACGAAAAGTTGCGACACGTTTGATGGACAGAATGCCGAACAACAACATAAGACTCCCTAACCAACCAAGCACTGATTAACAACGTGTTGGTTAGCACACTTACATTTCTGTGTGGTTTGAGAACTGGGCGTGGGTACCTCTACCTGTCACGTCCAGGTAGAGGTACCCACTCGTACTGCTCTCATCTTTACACCGCGTTCGACCAAGTACGTGGGATGTTGCAAGTACTGTGTGTAGTTGCTGCATTACATCTCCCCACGAAAATTGTACCATTGTGGTCAATACCGTGACCCGCTCGACAAGGTTTTCGACCGGAAAGGAGTGCATAATACCGGTATGCATCCACAGGACCGTACCTGCCATGTTACACTACGCTACACAATCGTAGCGGCAAAAGCATGGACATTGACTGCGAAGCAACGTCGGAATGGTTGAGCCTGTCGGCTGAACAGCCAAGGTAAACAGTATGGCCCACATGGCCCCACACCAAGACGTTCAACCCTGTGAACGCAAGGAAATCAGCTACGTGCTTTGAGCAATCCCTTGGATCCGTGTGTATGCGCTGCCGAATGTGCTGTAACATGCAGTAACCTGTTCCATTATGACTCGGGCATGCTACGGTTGGTTCAGCCACGCACATGGCTTTCCCAAGACATCGCCCTGTCACTTGCTATCATCCTGCCCGGCCCCGTCGACCCCTCGAGCCGACCGACAGCTTGCCGTTTGCAGCTACACTTCAAGCCGGTAACACCTGCTTTGCGAGCTCGACATGTTTAGGAGGATAAGTCCTGGAAAGCCCTCCACACGACCGGCGCACATAGCACCCTCACACGGTCCGCTCCACTAGAACGTAAATATAGGTAGACGCTCCATCGATGTTGCAGCGAACCTAATGGGCAAGGCGCACATGCAGAGCAGCGAAAGGTAAGATCTCAACATCATGCAGAACCCCAAGGCGTGCCGTACTGCCCTTGCAGCGAAGGACAAATAAATGCAAAAGCACCGGCTTACCGGCCGGTACCGGCTTACAGCACCAGGCATTCCCCGTTGTACGGCAACATAGTACGGCATACTAATGCCGTACTATGTTGCCGTACAACGGGGAATGCCTGGTGCTGTAAGCACCCTTGCATGTGACTTGCTGCCCCCTCAGGTTCTGATGGCAGCTCGGGAGCCGCTGCAGCTCTCCCTGCTGGCCGGGCTGGGGCTGGAGCACGTGCTGCAGCTGCTGCCGGCCCCCTGCCCTGCTGCTCCTCACCTCCTGCAGGCGCCCCAAATGTCGCAGCAGGGTGAGCATGGCCTTGCCGCTCTTGTCGGGCTTCACCAGGCTGCCCTCGCGCAGGTCCGAGTCCAGGAACCAGTAGTGCCCCTTGATGACGTCCTTGGCCTGCAAGCCGGGTGTCGAAAGGTGTCGAATGGTGCAAAAGATCAGGCCTTGCAGCACGCAGGGCGCATACAGGAAGCAAGCAGGGTTCGTCCACTGAACTAGACGGGAAGCGGCGGCTTTCATGCAGATGAAAGAAAGCCCCATACTCGGCTTCCTTGCCGTTTTGCCGCTTTGCACCTGCAGAGCCGAGGAAGCCCCGCTGGTGTCCCGCCGATGCCCAACCAAGGGCCCTTGACGCGTCATGGGTGTTGGCGGGAAAGGCTTCGGGTTGAGACTACCCAGGACGCATCCTACTAACAGTTGGCGGTGTGGTGCCGTACCATGATATCTCGCATGCTTTACAACGTACCGTGGCGTTATGCAGCAGCTCTGTCGCACGCTTCCGGTCCGCCGGCGCTAGCTTGCTGCCTCCCGCCTTCATTGCCGCCATCAGCTTTTGGTTGTTGAGCGCGTGCGAGGCCAGCTCGTCAAGCGCGGCGTTGACCTGCGGAGAAGGGCAAACACAAAGGGCACGCGGCGGGAAGTTTTACCACGTTATATTACAGCATCGACGCGTGATGCCAGAGCTGCCGGAGAGGTACCGGTTGAGGTTAAACGCAGAGGTTATAATTAGAAGTTAGGAGAGCCTGACCCTAACTCCCAGTACCTTGTCCGGCTGCAGCCGCCCGCGCAGGTAGGCTGATGTCGCCTCGAACTCCCGCTCCGTCACGTACCAGCGGGGCACGTCCTTGCGCCGCCGCGCGCCCTCATCGGCTGCTGTCGGCGCCGTCCCCGTCGGCCCTGGTGGAGCCACAGGAACGTCCAGGTCAAACCTTGTTGAAGGCGCAAATTACGACATGATGCCCCTTCGAGTACCGGTCAATACGCAGGCCGCAAGCACGGGGGTTGGCCAAAGGTTTAGGTGCCGGTACCTTGTTGGGTGGGGTCGTGCTGCCCGCCTGCACGGCAGGACGCCAGCGATGCACCCTGTACGGAGGTAACAACTGGCCGGGGAAGGCGTGCGGGCAGGTTGGCCGCAATGGCGTTTAGTCGGTCGCTTTGAACCTTGCTGGCGTCGATGAGGGCCTCCACCTGCACACACGGTAGCACCGCGGGGGGGGGGCAGTTACGACATGGGATTGGTCCCTCGCTTGGCGCTTGGGTTAAAGGTGCGTTGCACAGAAGGACGGTGCCCTGGGGACTTCGCCAGAGGGCTTCCCTGTCGTGCACTTGCCCGTGCTAGGGTGCCCGGTGTTTGCGATGGGGTTGGTCGTATGGTTGCTTAACCATGCGATCTAGGCGAAAGCTAGGGCGTCGAGGAGACATACCTTGGGCACGGCCGCTAGCTCCCCCTGGATGCATGACTTCAGCGTTGCCACCTGAGTCTCCAGCGCCCTCACGCTGACCTGTGCAACGGCTTCAGGTTATACGGCTGGGGGGCCTTAGGGTATTGGACAGCCGATGCGCTCACCTCGAGGCCTGCCAGGTCTTGTTGGAAGAGCTCCTTTCCACCATCTGCGTGTTCGCAGAGGCTTTAGTGCCCACGCCGATTGTAGGTACGGCGCCATGGCGACATGTCCCCAACCTTCGATACGCAGCAAAGCAAGCTTTCTAAGCTCCGAAATCCGCTCAGTTAGGGCAGCACCAAGCTCTGCAAAACTATCCATAGCTGCGGCGCTTCACGTCGAGCCAATTAAGGTGACAGCAATTGTGTCTCTCGTCCCTCGGTGAAATAGCCACAACGGTAGGCTTTGGCGCTTGTATTGTGTATATTGCTAGCCTTTACCTTCCGCTGCTGCTATGTTTCCTTTCTAGAGCAGTCTATGACTGAGGGCTTGAACCAGCTGTTGTCGCGTTGGATTCGACCGCTATAAGTTAACCAATAAATAACAAACCCCTGTGTGTACAGTAGAAAGCATGTATTCATATTAAGCGGGCCGGTTGCTGTAATCTGTTGGTTTAAATGGGTCTACGACAATTGATTGTGCGTGAGCCGTATCCCTGTCGATGGAGGTGCGATCCAAGCTTTCGTGTCTTTCCGGCTGTGTTTACATACCCGTGTTTTCATAATAAGCTCCAATTCCTGTAACGACACGGCATCTGGCTCGACCTGGCATCCCTATGCTTATGCCCCATAACGTGTCACTTGCCTTAGGAAAGGAAACACACAAACCGTCATCCACACAACCATTACCTGCGCTAACGTATTGGGCAAGGAACCGAAAGGGTAACACGCATGTCTGCACACATGTCTGCAGACATGTCTGCGCCCATCAGTCTTCCATGGCCCAAACCTTCAAATACCGTTACTACACACATCACTCCCATCCACCACGCCTCTACCGCTCAAACTGAAAGTCATGCAAAGGTAGAGATAATCCTACAGCACCAAAATCAGTTGCAGGCAAGGGCTGAAGCCCTACAACAGCTGCGACAGTGGGGCATGCACTCCTAATTGCCTCCATGCGCAGTCTCGCTGCTATCTCTTCCGCAGCACCTGCGCTGGGCCGTTCCCTAAACATATTCGGCGCACTGCCACTCCTCCGCATCTGCTGAACGGCCCCAACTCCTCCCAGCGATAGGCCCATGCCCGAGCCCAAGCCCAGGCTGCTGCTATGTACTGCATCACCACCTCCGCCAGCAATGCCGCCCGGTGACAGGTCAAGGCACCATCCGCCACCGCCACCGCTGCCGCCGCCCCCACCAAACGCAGTGGCTCCGTTGCTGCTAGGTCCAGTAGCGCCTCCGCCTGCGCTGCTAACACCTCCATTGCCCCCCAGTCCCAACATGGGTAAGGGACCGGGCGCGCTGCCACTAGGCGGCAGCTGTTGCACGCCGCCAGGTAATGACAGGCCAAGGCCCCATCCACTGCCGCCGCCGCCGCTCCCTAGCGCCAACACAGGCAAGCGACCGGGCGCGCTGCCAACAGTTCGGAGCGGCTGCATGCCGCCCAGGCCTGCTGAGTTCATGCCGCCCAGGGATGGCCGGCATGCTGAGGTCACGCCCATGCCCGACCCGCCGCTGTTCCAGCCGCCGACAGCACCACTACCGGCCAGAGCGTTTGCTTGCTGTAGCTGAATAATGGCAGCAGCGGCAGCAGCAGCGATGGCCTGGCTGCGGGCACGCTCCGCAAGCAGCGCCCGAATCAGCGTCGCTGGGTCCCATGCAGCTGCGGGCTGCTGCTGCGCAACTGTGCTCTCCCTTCGCCGGGACTTGTGTTGGCTCAACTTTGGGCTGGGCCTGGGAGGAAGCAGCGCCGTTTGAGATGCGGCCCCCCGCTTCTCGCCGCTCTTCTCCCTCTTCTTCTTCTCCGCCTCGTACTTCGCCTGCACAGCAACGACGAACGACCCACATGGGTACCGGATCGTATGGTACGACACGAGTAAGACACACGCGTACGACACGCGATGCAGCACCGTACAGCACCAGCACCGTACAACACCCGCACCGTACGTACCTGCCGTACGACCTGAGATGTGGCGCCGCAAGCGCGCACGTCACCGCCCAGCTGCTGCTCCAAGCTCCGAGACCTGGCGGCGTCCCTCCATACATCTGAGGGCGCCCGCTCTACACGAGGCGCAGAAGCAAGCGGTCAGAAGCGAGAAGTACCGTATAGAAATCGACTTTCCGTATACGGCAACGAACTCCTCAGTGACTCACGTATTGCTTCCTGGGCCAGCCTTGCTCGTTGGGCGCCCTTGAGCTGGCCAACCACCGCGCCTGCCTTGTGCCTGCAGGAGTTGAAGAAGGAGACCTCCAGCGCGGAATCCAAGTTCCGTTGACCCACAAGGACGATGGTAGGGCACCTGTACCGGTGCTGTACGTTGGCTGCTGGTATTGAATGGCAACAAGAATGGCAAAGCCAGCAGTATGATGATGTGATTGCATGTATATATATGGATCCCACACCTCACCCTTCATGTGCACAGTTGAAGGAGTAGTACCACAGATAGGCCAGGTGGGGCGATTCAGCGCGCGCATTAGCCATGGTCTGCACAGTGCACCGATAGAGGTCCGTTAGATGTATCGGAATCCGTGTCGCAGACTTGGATTAGATCGTCACACCAATTGTGGCATCTTACACTCGCAGTATGAACGCCGCGCCTCGACCCTGCAATGCGGAATGGACCCGCTTCGGAGTGTGCTGACCCGTGGGTCGCGCCGCCATGCTCTGTCGCCTCCACCTCCTCGGCCTCGTCGGCCGACGTAGTTGATGCACCTTCCTTGCTAGACGCGTTGCCACGTTTGCTTGATCTAACGGTGAGCACAATGTGCTTTGGGAAGGCGGGCAAGGCGACTAGCCAGGTCATTAGCGTCTTGCCGGCAGAGGAAACAAAGCCGCCCATGGCGCGCCTCACGCGTCCACCCGTGCTTGACGTGTACTTGTATGTTATGGGTGTTGGGTCTACTATGCGTTCCTTAATAGTCGCTCGGTCTATGCGCACGCGGCTTCCGTCGTCGAGAACCAGTTCGGTTCCGAGCGGGACCGTGATGTACTTTGGTGCGATGTTGAACACGTTGTAACCGTCTTCAATTTTGCTAACAGGATCAGAAGGTAAGCACGGTACCTCGAGCTCACGGAGCTCACTGAAAGACCGAAAGGACGAAAGGTCCAGCGGCGAATCGCGCACAGCGTCATGCTTAACCGCTGCGTCTGTGCTGGCCATTATTAGACTCTGAGAACAGTTACCGGTATCCCATAGATACACTGTTCAGCGTGTTTTGTTTCTTTCATCATGACGGCAATTTGCCGGCAGTAGACATTGGTACTGCGGACCTGGCATCGCAGCCAACCTGGCGTCACGAATGTAAGGGGGCTTGGCAACAGCGTGAGATCTTGCACTCGGTAACACGTCGTTTCAGGCAAAGCCCGCGCAGAAGGCCAGAGGCGGAGAGAGGCGGAAAGAAAGAAGTTGAGGGTTCTGGTGCCATGGGCGCCTTGGGACAAAAGTTAGCGACGTCGGTGCGGTAGGGTCCAAACTGGACACTGTTTCTACGGAGCTCGGTGGGAGTGCTGCAAGCTTGCGGCCACGCAGCCAGACATGCACATTGCTGAGCTCTACCGGTACCGGCAGCAATGAGCCGCGTGGACATCTGAGCGACACACCATCGGCGTCATCCTCGTCCCTTCCACGCTGACACACAGGAAGCCCGCACGGCTCAACAGACGAGTTGTCGGGTTATGGTGCTCCGTGCGTTGTCGTACCACTCGGTCCCATGCCATGCTCAAGGCACCCCGGAGCGCACGAGGCATGAGCTGCATGACTTTGTGGATGCGTGAATGGACCATCAATAGGGGACGAGACACCGCTGCCGACAGGCGCATGCATGTGCCTCCATGCAATGCCTGTTGAGCGCGGTTGCCTACTAGATCTGCCATTCCCCATCACCGGCAATGCATGCATCATAGAAGCATGCTAGAAGAACAGAACATTCAACTCACACGAAGCCAGTTTTAAGTGCTGAACCAGGCCAGCACCTTCACGCCGTCCAGAGTTCTAAACCCACATTTTAGGTGGCCATACTTTGGCAACAAATAGGATGAATTGGGTACCTCTTTCCGTACATTCCTGCTATTCTGCTAAGCTGATGACTAACGGACCCGTGGGTCAGCTCCATGTTCGGTAACAAGGCCATACGGTTATATTGCTGATCCTTAACGCAGGCACCAGAATGAGCATTGCTGGAAGTACATTGCACTGCGGCACCCTAGCTGCTGCTGCTGCCCTTGCTGCTGCTGCTGCTGCTGCTGCTGCTGGGGCCCTCAGGACAGCGTCGTATCCGTTGTGTGCGCTTGAGACTCGGTGAAGACGGTGTAGGACTCAATCGGCAGGACTTGGTAGTGGGAGATCTGCACCGGCAGCAAACAAAGAGACACTGCTATGAAGCTATACGATAAGGTTGGGAAGCATGCATGCATGCATGTCGCCCCTCAAAACACCCTTGCCCCTTGCATCTTCCTTGCACTCAAGTCTGCATCGGGCCCCTCTCCTCCTCACTCATCTTAACCCTCCTTATCTCCCTGCACGGTTGCACCTCACGTCCCCACTCACGCTGTCGAATACCCAGCTGCTCACGACCGGCGCGCAACCCCACTCGCGCACCACCCGGCCCGCCTCCGCAACGTCCCGCCCCTCCACCAACACAATCACCGGCGGCACCCCCGGCGGCAGGGGGGCCCGCGGAGACACACCGCCACCGGCTGCTGCTGCTGCTGCTGCCGCTGATTCCGACTGTGTGGTGGTTGACGAGGGCGGCTGTTGTGAGGCCAGGGCACCATCGTACAGGTCAGCAGCTGCGGCGGTGCCGAAGAGTGCCGCTGCGAAGGTGGGTGGGGCGGCAGCGGGCGCGGGGGCGGCGCGGTGGCTGGGGCGGCGCACGATGCGGCCGCCGGAGGTCTGCAGCAGGGCCTCCAGGTCGGCACGGAGGACCTTGTCTGCAGGAGCGAGGGCGGATGCGAGGGCGGAGGGTGCGGGGAAAAGCGGTAGTTTAGGGAGTAAATGGGTTGCGGGTAATGGAGGGTAGAGGAATTACGGAGGGTTACAGAGGGGGTTAATGCGGGTGCTGCCAGTGGGATTGCAGGAGGGAACAGTGTACGACATGTACGACATGGTGGCAGCTGCAATGTACGGCGACGGGGCAGAAGCAGGAAGAGACACATCGTTATTAGCTAATAGACCGGCAGGCCAAAGACCAACTACGCACGAAGCAGCAGCAACAGCAGCACATGCTGCAGTGTATGTGAACTTACTGTCCATGGTCCCTTTCAGGTACGACACGCAGAAGGAAAGCCCGGTAAAGAGGGGGGGCTCCCCGCGCTCCACACGCATGCGGCCCCGTGCGGGCGTGCCCTCGTGGACTGGGTCCCCCTGCATGCGCGCATTCAGTTGTCTGTTGTCAGTCTTCAGTACGACAAGAGCACATAAAGGCGCTACCCACCGGTATGCTTCCTGTAGC